AAGCGCGACTTGTCCGGCCCCTTTCCCCAGGACCACAGAACCTCGTCCGGGAGTTAAATAAATTAGCATTTAATCGTTCTTATACTGGCCTCACTTTCCTCATTTTAAACTCGGTAATAACCCTTACACTAGGTCCTGCCTAACTCTTTCTTCTTTTAGCATTTGGTCCCTGCCTCTTACAACTCCTCGCCCAGTTTTTACGAGACCGTATTAAAGCTTTCACCCATGGAACAATACAAGATACGATGCTGCTCCAAGAATACCGTCAGATCCAGGAACCACAATCCCTGCAAATCTAGCCTCCACCGCCCCCCCCACACACACACACACGCCGTCCCTCCCCTATTACCTATCAAGGGGCTGGAATGTTAGCCTCTCAATAGGTAATTAAGACAACCTAGCCGGGCGCGGTGGCTCAAGCCTGTAATCCCAGCACTCTGGGAGGCCGAGGCGGGTGGATCACGAGGTCGGCAGATGGAGACCATCCTGGTCAACATGGTGAAACCCCGTCTCTACTAAAAATACAAAAAATTAGCTGGGCATGGTGGTGCGTGCCTGTAATCCCAGCTACTCGGGAGGCTGAGGCAGGAGAATTGCCTGAACCCAGGAGGCGGAGGTTGCGGTGAGCCGAGATTGCGCCATTGCACTCCAGCCTGGGTAACAAGAGCGAAACTCCGTCTCCAAAAAAAAAAAGACAACCTGCCCCAGAAGACCTCCTCCGAGCAAGCTGACCCCTTACGCCCACTGATCTCTCTGCAGCTGCATTTCTTTTTTCTTTTTATTTTTTTTGAGACGGATTTTCGCTCTGCTCTTGTTACCCAGGCTGGAGTGCAATGGCGCGAGCTCGGCTCACCGCAACCTCCGCCTCCCGGGTTCAGGCAATTCTCCTGCCTCAGCCTCCCGAGTAGCTGGGATTACAGGCACGCGCCACCACGCCCAGCTAATTTTTTGTATTTTTTAGTAGAGACGGGGTTTCACCATGTTGACCAGGATGGTCTCGATCTCTTGACCTCGCGATCCACCCGCCTCGGCCTCCCAAAGTGCTGAGATTGCAGGCTCGAGCCGCCGCGCCCCGGCCCGCAGCTGCATTTCTTAACGCCTATTTAGGCGCCGCATCAAGGCTGCCGGACGCGCTGCAATTAAGCAAAGCGTGATCACAGCCACCCGGGCAGCTCGGGGGAGGGCGGACAAAAACACACGTCGTTATCCAAACTTGTACATCCCGGTTTCACACGCACCTGTAAAATCTAACTGCCGCCGCACAAGTCACAGACGATGTGAGTCTGTCACACGCTGACAAACCATCTCTGCGCCTGTTACCAGCGGAGAGGTTTCCTCCGACCCCATGTCCACGCCCCATTGTGTAAGCTCGGGGCGGCCTCCCGGGGTCGTTACGGGGCAGCCCGGCAGGTTAATAAAACCTGCTTGCGTCGGTGCCTCTCGGTCCCTGACGGGGGCCTGGGTTGCAGGGTGGCGAAGAGGTGCCCCTCACGACCCGGAGTCTCAGGGTCTGTGTGGGGAAGGCAGGTGAGGCCCGGAGGTGGCTCACCTGAGCTGTAGTCGCCATGACTCTGCGTGAACGGGGACCTGGGCTCGGCGGCCCCTCTCCTTCTCCTGTCCCAGGTCACGACCAGCGGCCTCGCAGAGCCTCATATCCACCTTGTGCGAAGGGCACAACCAGTTCTCTCGGGCTCTCCCTGACACAGCAGTCCCAACCCAACGTAGCTGGCTGGACCTGCCAAGTTAAAATGGGCGCGCGGGGAGGTCGCCGCAAGTCCCGCTTGACGTTACGTGACCCCGTAAAGGCGCGGTTTCTCTGAGGCGTCACTGCGTCAGCCTCACTTCCATTCCACAGAGAGGATTCTGGGTAATGTAGTTCCCGGAGATCACACACACAAACACAGACACACACACACACACACCACCCCCACCCCCACCCCGCCCGCACTTAAGGTCGCCCCCAACCAGAGTTTGACAGAAAGGACCGAGACTGCACCACTGCACTTCAGCTTTGGTGACAGAGTGAGACTCCATCTCAAAAGAAAAAAGGAAGAAAAAAAAACCCGTAGACCAAGTAGAGCTTAGTAAAAAGTTACTAGTTTTAGAGTAAGTGATTCAAACGAGAAACTATATACGAGAACAGATTTATATAAATCATGAAAAAACGTCTCAGGGAATATATTGATTTATATATCACACTAAAATGGAACAAAGCTAAGAAATTACTACTATAATCAAAATACCAAAAAGTTAGTGTGAAAAAGAACATTAACAAATTGAGAATAGGAAATTTAAATATTTTGTATAGAAATTTTCACATAAATATTAGCCATAAATAAGCAGAATAATTGATTTCATATGTGAATTAACAAAAGTTGTATTAATTATTCAGACAAGAGCCTACAGATCCTAAAACTGCTCTCATTACTAAAAACTTTGTCTTTACAGACTACAGATTTTCTCTGACTACAAAGGTTTTGTGGGGACATAATTAGGGTATGTATTATCAAGAAAATTTTAACTGGGCATTGTAGCTCACACCTATAATTCCAGTACTTTGGGAGGGCAAGGCAGGTGGATTCACTTGAGGCCAGGAGACCACCCTGGCCAACATGGAGAAACTCTGTCTACCAAAAATACAAAAATTATCCAGGAATGGTGGCGTGCGCCTGTAATCCCAGCTACTTGGGAGGCTGAGACAGGAGAATCACTTGAAACTGGGAGGCTGAGGTTGCAGTGAGCTGAGATCATGCCGTTGCACTCCATCCTGGCAACAAGAGTGAAACTCTGTCTCAAAAAAAAAGGAAGAAAATTTCAGTCTTCACAGAAGTGACAGGAAGATATACATCAGTGAGTGTGTGTAGTCATAATATGGTTTGTTTGAATAAGCCATCTTATGACTTGTAGATGACATCCCACAAACCTGTATTGATTCAGAATCACTGGGCATTCTTCCAAAGAGAAGGGAATCAAATATTAGTAACAATGGAAATAAAATGTACCTATAAAACATGTTGTCATTAGGTAACATTTAGGGACTGAGATGCTTTACATCCCTGATTATCTTGCTATTTGTAATTTATGATCTTTTAATTCGTGTATTATTTTTCCATTCACTAAATAGGACAGGAAGTTTTAACTTTTGCATTCAACACATGAATGACATACTCCTGCAGCTCACATTTTCAAATCATGTTCTCAAAAGGATAAAAATGCATATCCAAAAAAATGCTATTAGGACACTAAAAATCTACTCAAAAACTGTGGGTAAAAGTCTTCTTGTTCTTCACTTTATGTGAGTAAAGTTTTTATAATGAATGTTTTGAGAATATTTTGGTTATCAATGAGAATACTTTAAAGAGGGTGTGAGAGCAAATATGGAGAAGAGATTCTAGGCACCCCTAAGGGAATTACACAAGGTGGTACCATCGCTCTGCGTCCCTCAAACTATGTTCTGTCTCTTCATCTGTATTGTGTTCCAATCCCATAAAGCAGCATCATTTTTCCATATAACACTTCCAATTTTTAAAAAATAATTTTATGTGGCATAAGTGTGATTTGGTTACATGCACTTTTTTTTTTTTTTTTTTTACATGCACATTTTGTGCGTGTCAACAGGGGCTAGCTAAAACAGGGCTTTATCGTATTCATCACCCAAATAATGCCCATTGTAACCATGAACTAATTTCTCATCATCCACCCTCCATCTCTTGTGAATGTCTAACATGTGACAATTTCTTCCAAGACTGTGACACTTATCTGGGAATAGTAACTGCTTATTAAATCAATATTTGCCATGGTGGTTGCAATGTTGACATTTCTGCAGGGGTGGAACAAGACTATCTGATTCCTGAGAAATGATCTTGGATTCTATGATCCAACCTCCTGGCTAGGAAGTGCAGTGATAGTATGTGCATGAAGATTTGAGATAATCTCTTAAAAACAGCTGAGAAGTGAGCTAATTGCAAAGTTATTAATGTGGATTCAGAGTTGTCCATTGAAAATGACGTTTCTATGATGGCCAATAACGCATTAAGTCTCAATGGATATTGAGTAAAGGACAGTAAGCTCTAAGTTCTGAGATAATTACGTGGAACTCCTGGCTATGCTGAAAATGTGGCTAACATGAAATTGCAATGAGTATATATCCTTTCCACTCATGAGAACTCTGAGGAAGAACAAACTTGGAAAGAAAAAGTGGCTGGGCGCGGTGGCTCACGCCTGTAATCCCAGCACTTTGGGAGACCCAGGCGGGTGGATCATGAGGTCAAGAGATCGAGACCATCCTGGTCAACATGCTGAAACCCCGTCTCTACTAAAAATACAAAAAATTAGCTGGGCATGGTGGTGCGCGCCTGTAATCCCAGCTACTCGGGAGGCTGAGGCAGGAGAATTGCCTGAACCCAGGAAGCGGAGGTTGCGGTGAGCTGAGATCGCGCCATTGCACTCCAGCCTGGGTAACAAGAGCAAAACTCCATTTGAAAAAAAAAAAAAAAGGAAAGAAATATTATGGCAGAAGTAGAAAGATGTGGAATAACAGAAGGGAAGCCATAGCATATGTGTAAAAAATAATAAACTTTTCAACAGTCAACACGGAATACTTCTGTGAGCAGGTGTGCAGGATCTTTTCCACACACACCAAGCACAGCTTCAGTGGACACAAGCTGGGGGTTCTCCAGTTCAACTCAGTCATTATCTACCTGCAGACAGCATCACATCCCCCAGTCTGAAGACTCAGTCGCCAAGACTGACGCTCCCATTTCTAATGACAAATCAAAGCTCCAGAACCTCTGCTTTTGACTGATGAGCTATAAACCAGGAATCCCATGATGCCCTCCTTGGATTTCATTAATGTCATAGAGTGGCACATAAAACGCAGGGAAAATCATGTACTGGTTGACTATAAATATTACAAAAGATGTAGATGAAGAGACGCAGAGGGTAAGGTATGAGAAAAGCACTTGGAGCTTCCATTGCCTCCTGGAAAGACTGAAGGTGTCTTAAGCAGCAGAGCCTTTATTATAACACAAACCAGGGCAATAGGATTCGTGACCGGTGAGCTGGAAAATTCCATCTTAATAATCCTGCGGGATACAAAAGATCCCTGAAAAAGTAGTCTATCTTTTTAAGTCATCAGAAGAGTCCTCCTCTGTGCCAAAAATGGGTCAGGTTCATGGCCTAACTCATGGGAGAGAAAGAAAAGAGAATGGAATGAGTGCTGAGGATACTAAAAAACCTCTCTGGTGAATGAAAGAAAATCAGTTACTTCTGGATTGTGATGAGGTAGGAGGATGATTTACTGTGGCCACCTGTCAAGGGGTAAAGGTGAAATGCTTTTTGCAAGAGAACTGGCAGTCACTGAAGTCTGGCAAGAGACATGGGCAGGTTGAAAAATGCTATGCAGTTCCCACATACCTGGGATGTATGCAGCTATTTCATGTATGACATTCAATTTAGGCAGAGAGCATCCTCGTAAGGGATCTCCTCCCGTGTTATACTGAAGAAGAAACAATATTGCCTCCACATCTATGGTATTTTCCTCGCGTAAATACTCTGGGAACCAGTGAGAGGGCTGAAGGCTTTCTCACATTCATTGCACTCAAAAGGCACTTATTCAGTGGGAACACTCTTTTATTTAAAGAAGCTAGAGCTCTAGCCAAAGAATATTCCCCATTTGTCACACTCATAAGGCCTCGATCCGGAGTGAACTCTCTGGCCTTGAAGGAGCGCAATGACTGAGCAAGAGACTTTCCCAAATTTTCTTCACTTCTAAGGCCTTATTCCAGTATGAACGCTCTGATGGCGACGGACGGAAGAACTGTGGCGAAATAATTTTCCACAATCAATGCATTCGTATGGCCTTTCTCCAGTGTGAACTCTCAAGTGGTTAATAAGGGTGGAGTTTAAAGAAAAGGATTTCTTACATTCACTGCACTCATAAGGCCTTTCTCCGGTGTGAACTCTCCTGTGTTTAGTGAGATTAGATATATAAGGAAAGGACTTCCCACATTCGTTGCATTTATAAGGCTTTGCTCCAGAGTGAACTCTCCTGTGGTTGGTGAGACTGGACTTTTCAGCGAAGGCTCTCCCACATTCAGTACACTCATAAGGCCTTTCTCTAGTGTCAAGTGTCTGATGCTGCAGGGGTGAAGAGCTTTGGTGAAACGATTTTTCACAGTCACTCCACACATGAAGCTTTTGTCCGGTATGAAATCTCTCGTGAATATGGAGTGTAGTGTTTTGGTGAAATAATTTCCCATAGTTGCTGTACTCATCAGGCCTTTCTCTGGCACAAATATCCTTGTGTTTGTAATCTATTCTGTGTTCAGTGAGGCAGGAGTTGTTCTTAAATAATTTCCTATATTCCTCACACTCATAAGGCCTTTCTCCACTGTGAACTCTCTGGTCTCTGTATACATGTACACAAGTGCTCTGCTTCGAAGGTGCCGCCTCCTCTTCCCCTCCATGCCAACAACCTAGAAGCAAGGATATGTCGGTGAGGTACGTGTTGACTTTGTTGAGTATGCAGCCAACCCACAAGAGTATCCGACAAACCAAAAAAACTAGTCTCTGAAATTATTTACACATACAGGGAGTTAAGTTCAGGTTGAGGTTGTGGATGCTTAGATTATTACAGATGTAGGAGGCCTCATGATGTCAAGGGCATGACTAAATGAGGCAACAGACAGAGTAAAGGCAGGGTCTATAACTCCTTTGTTTGCAAACAACTTGCCTGTGGAACGTTATTTGCTGATGACATGTGAGTACTATACAGACTATATCCAGGCCCCCCCACCCCCACCCCGCCGCTCCACAACATGACTAGAGCACAACATCCTTTGGTCAGGGACTGTTAAGAATGGGTATATAGAGGCCGGGCACGGTGGCTCACGCCTGTAATCCCGGCACTTTGGGAGGCCAAGGCGGATGGATTACCTGAGGTCAGGAATTTGAGACAAGCCTGGCTAACACAGTAAAACCCCGTCTTTAAAAAAAAGAGAAAAAAAAAAAAGAATGGGTATATACTTCATAGGGGCTGGGGGTGGTGGCTCACACCTGTAGTCCCAGCACTTTGGGAGGCTGAGGCAGATGGGTCTCCTGAAATCAGAAGTCTGAGACCAGCCTCACCAACATGCCAACATGGTAAAACCCCTAATAAAAATACCAAAAAAATTAGCTGAGTATGGTGGTGGTCACCTGTAATCCTAGCTACTCGGGTAAGTGAAGCAGGAGAATCATTTGAACCCAGGAGGTGGAGGTTGCAGTGAATGAAGATTGCACCATTTCACTCCAGCCTGGGCAAGAAGAGTGAAACTCCGTCTCAAAGAAAAGAAAAACAATGGGTATATACTCCGTAATACAAAACACATGAGCCAATATTGAAGACCATAGCAGACAGAGCAGTAAGAAAAGTAAGTGAGATGTGAGTCCAGAAAAACCGAAATTAGTCCTGCACTGGATGTAACAGCAGAATAACAACGTGTAGGATTAATAAACTGGCAAACTCTCAAGAATGGGGACGCAAAGACAGAAATAATGTGGGGCTACTTCTACTGGCACTGAAAGACTAGACGAGTAGAAGAGGTCTGCGGCCTGCTTTGAACAGAGGCCTGACGGTATACCCTCACTCACATACTATTCTTCAGAACCAAGCTGTCCCAAGTCCTTGCTAAGGCGGGAGTCATTTATATCTTAGGGACAACCAGGGGCTCTTCATTTCACCACCAAGATGAGCAGCTAAATGGAACCGGGAAAATATAAGTACTAAGGGAAAAATAGGACAGATGAATACCCAGTACTGGCTCAGAACAACTCTGCATTTGATATTCCACAGTAAAGGAAACCAAATATTACAAAAATAATTCCTTCCTCTTTATTTTTAGAGATGAGGTCTTGCTATGTTGCCCAGGCTGGCCTCAAACTTCTGGGCTCTGAGTAGCCTCTGAATAGCTGGGATGACAGGTGAGTGTCGCTGTGCCTGGTGAAATACTAGAAAAAGAATTTTGAAGTAGGGTGTTGCAAGAATAGGTTGTGGTTCATGTACATAATGACCGTATCAGTGACAGGAATCTGGCATGAACAAATGTGAGCTACTCGAAGGAAACGGAACTTGAGACCAACAGGAGCCTTGGAGCTGCACAATCACCCAGACAGGCCGAGGACAACCAAGGTGGGATGCATTAGGGTGACGTTAAGACTCCTGACTCTGACCCCTTCCCTGGGAGCCAGCAATAAAGCAGGTTGGGGTCGCCGAAGAAAAGGAGAGGGCAGTACATACACCTCAGTCCAACCAACAACAGAACCTCTCCAGACAACTGTAGAACGAAGCTGTGCCCATGGTCCTGATGTGAGAAAGATATTCTTACCAAGAGGCATAAAGGAGAGGGGCAGAGAACAACTCAGGTCACAGGTGAATACGAATTCCTTACCCAGGGAGGATATAAGTGTCATGGTCTCCAGCATCACGTCACCGTACAGGCATCTCTGAGCATCATTAAGAAGATTCCATTCCTCCAGGGAAAACTTCACAGCCACATCTTCAAAGGTCACACAGCTCTGTTATGATGGGGATACAGGAAACCACAAATGGCCCCCATGCTGAAGACCCACAACTCACTTCCCCAACATATCTACCTTTGCCCATCTTCTACCTCTCAGGTTCTCCAACTCAGAGGAGAAACTTTGTCACTAGTGCCACTGTGTCCTCATGGGACCATTGATCATATCACATAGCCATCAGCAACAAAAGGCAGGTGAAGGATCAGGTATCTATGCTGTGGTCCTGAAATAAAGAGTTCCAGCCCCTCCTTTCTGACAATTCCCCTGATGTAACAAAGGTCAAGTGAATCCCGATGCAGTGCCCGAGTCCTTTCACACATAATCCTTATTTATGTACACATCCTTCACATCTTTGGACATCACAAACACATGCCTATTGCCGCCACCACCTAACTGTCCCACACCATAGCCCTCTCTCTGGCCTTGCCAGAAGTTGAAGTATTTTAATCCCCCTTCCTTCTACTGGTGAGGGTAGGAGTCTCACCCTAGGGTTGTGGTGATGGCCAAACACACAACACCTGACACTGAACACAAGTCATCAAGGAAGTTCATTAATCATCAAATATGCTCACAATTTGAGAGAACAGGGGACCACTCACCAGAGAGCCACATGGGGGTTGCACTATGTATAAGAGAGAGCAACCAGGGGGACTGTGGTCTGCAGCGATCTTTGCTGAGTAAGTAGGGTGTGCCTCTGATTCCCTTGAAAGAATGCAACTGGCTTGTTTTTACTTTTTATCTTTGAGACAGGGTCTCACTTTGTCACCCCTGCTGGAGCATAGTGGCACATTCACGGCTCACTGAAGCCTCAACTTCCCGGGTTCCAGCAATCTTCCCACCCCAGCCTCCCAGGTATCTAGGACCACAGGGGTGTGACACCAAACCCAGCTGCGACTGGCTTGTTTGAATAACTCTGTTGTAGAAATGAAAGTGCTACAAATATTTGCTTTAAGCGATAGGAAAAAAATAAATTAAAAAAAAAAAGAAAGTGCTACAAATAAATAATAAGCAGGAACTCTGCCTAGTTGTCTTGATTAAAAGAGTAGTTAAGCTAGGACACATTATCCAGAAGAGCAGAGTGGGAAGGGGAATTTGCACTCAGGCCGTGTGAGGTAGTCCTGGCACCACCGGACGTGAAGGCAGCACACGATACCGGCCTTAAACTTAGGGCTCACACCATAATGTGGCGACATCATCCACGGTAGTCTTGGTTGATTAAAAAGGAATCCAAAATTATCACAGAATCCCAGTGTTTCTCAATAGCGGTGGTAGTCCCACGGCATTCTAGAAAGCCCTCCATGCATAAATCCACAGACAAAAAGAACCACCGGTGTTTTCAGACATTCATGCTGCTATTCCACTTCTATGCTGCATTTGCTCTCCTCAGAAACTATGACCTTTTTTTTTTTTGAGACAGGTTCACTCGTGTTGTCCAGGTTGGAGTGTAATGGTGCAATCTCAGCTCACTGCAATCTCTGCTTCCCAGATTCAAGTGATTCTCCTGTCTCAGCCTCCCGAGTAGCTGGTATTACAGAGGCACCCCACACCATGCCCACTAATATTTTTGTAGTTTTAGTAGAGATGGGGTTTTACCATGTTGGCCATGCTGATCTCGAACTCCCGACCTCAGGTGATCCACCTGCCTCGGCCTCCCAAAGTGCTGAGATTACAGGGGTGAACCACTGCGCCCAGCAACTATGACTTCCTTCTGTCCACATAACCCCGTTCAAAGCCCAGACCCACTGGTTGTCAATCTCGGGCCTAGTGACTCTCAAAAGGCCACCATATTTGCCTCCACATCCGCCAGACGGAAACACCCCAGGACACACCAAAGTCATCTCAGAATCTTGGTGAGGCCACAAAGTGGCAAAGAAACTCAAGCTCTAGCCGAGCATCATCTTCCCTCAGCGGCTCCTATGTTTCTGCACGCATCTCAAGTCTATTCACTCCTTGGAAGCCTATGGCACTTGCCAAACGAGGCTGTCAGATATATCCTCCCTTCATGGCCATTTACCTATCTCACCTGTGTTTCTAAAGTCCAATACCATCACCAGATACACAAGCAGGTAACCCAACCCCCACTTCCTGTCCCCCTATTGGTGTCATCAGCATAATCTAAAGGTTGTGCCTCCCAAATGTGAGCCACGACTCACTCACCTCTGTCCACACAGTATTTACCATATATTGGCTACCTCCAATACAACCCCTCCCCAGATATTTGCATCTATGTGTCCAGCTGTCTATTTGGTAGCTCCAATAAATAGTATTTAATACATTTCAGAATCTTAACATGGCTGTGATATTGTGAAATACATATTTGGTCATCTCCTTTCCTGGCATAGAATTCCTAAAATTCATGATACTTTCAAATTTATAAGTGACTTTGAATGGTAATGAGTTGACTGATGGTTGGCAACCCCTAGATAGGATGGGGACTGGTCAGGGAAAAGACTACGTTGGGATTTGAGGTCTGGAAAGTTTAGCTCCACACCCCAATCTCCATAAAGGGGTGAGGGGGCTAATGGTTAAGCTGATGAGCATTGGCCAATTATTTAATCAATCATGCCTATGTAATAAAGCCTCCATAAAACCCCATAAAGACTGGGGAGCTTTTAAATAGTCAAACACATGGAAGTTCCTGGATGGTGGTGTGCCTGGAGATCATAAAAGCTCTGGGTTCCTTCCCCTTAAGCATCTCTTCATCTGTAAACTTTTTTTTTTTTTTTTTTTTTTGAGACAGAGTTTCGCTGTTGTTACCCAGGCTGGAGTGCAATGGCGCGATCTCGGCTCACCGCAACCCCCGCCTCCTGGGTTCAAGCAATTCTGCCTCAGCCTCCCGAGTAGCTGGGACTACAGGCACGCACCCCCATGCCCAGCTAATTTGTGTATTTTTAGTAGAGACGGGGTTTCACCATGTTGACCAGGATGGTCTCGATTATCTTGACCTCGTGATCCACCCCCCTCGGCCTCCCAAAGTGCTGGGATTATGGGCGTGAGCCGCCATGCCTGGCCTCATCTGTAACCTTTGTAATAAATATTATTTAAAATAAACTGGAAAATTGAAGTGTCTCCATAAGTTTTGTGACTGGCTCTAGCAGTTTAATGGAAGCCAAGAAAGGTGTCATGGGAACCTGATTTATAGCAAGTCAGTCAGGTAAAGAAAAAACATTCTGGGGCTTGTGATGGGTATCAAAATGGGTTAGGGGACAGTCTCATGGGACTGAGACTTCACCCTGTGGGATCTGATGTCCAGTGGAGAACTACTTGATGTAGGAAGAAAACCATCCACACATACCTACTCACAGAAGTACTCAGTATTGATTGTCGTGGGGGAGAGCAGAGCACAAGAAACTTGTTTTTTTTTTTTTTTCACTCAGAATAGCCAAAACAAACCACGTGACAGCCTTGGTGAATGTTACACCTGATATCAACTTGCTAATCTCAGTTGATGCAGCTTCCATTGCTACAGTGCTAAGACCAAAAATCCAGGGGTGTTTTCTGAATTCTCTCAAGCTCTCTGTTCACATTAAAAAATTGAGTCACCCCTTTAAAAAAACACGAATTCAGAACTAGCCACATTGCCTAAGCCACAACTCTAGACCATTAATCCTCACCTGGTACAGGGCAGTAGCTGCCACTTTGATCTTCCACCTCCCTCAACCCCACAGTGTGTTGTCCACTCTGTAACCAGACAAAGCCCATTAAGAACTTGGTAACAGCCGGGTGCAATGGCTCACGCCTATAATCCCAGCACTTTGGGAGGCCAAGGCGGGTGGATCACAAGGTCAAGAGATCGAGAGCATCCTGGTCAATGAGGTGAAACCCCGTCTCTACTAAAAATACAAAAATTAGCTGGGCATGGTCGTGCACGTCTGTAGTCCCAGCTACTCGGGAGGCTGAGGCAGGAGAATCGCTTGAACCCAGAAGGCGGAGGTTGCGGTGAGCTGAGATCTTTCCATTGCACTCCAGTCTGGGTAAAAACAGTGAAACTCCATCTCAAGAAAAAGAAAAGAAATTGGTAACACTGGCCAGGCGTGGTGGCTTACACCTGTTATCCCAACACTTTGGGAAGCCAAGGTAGGCAAATCACGAGGTCAAGAGATAGAGATCATCCTGACCAACATGGTGAAACCCCGTCTCTACTAAAAATACAAAAATTAGCCGAGTGTGGTCCCCACTACTCAGAAGGCTGAGGCAGGAGAATTACTTGAACCCGGGAGGCGGGGGTTGCAGTAAGCTGAAATCACACCACTGCACTCCAGCCTGGGGTACAGAGTGAGACTCCATCTCACACAAAAAAAGAAAACAAAAGGAATTGCAAACATCACCTCACCCCCTCCAGTTTCACTTCTTTTTTTTTTTTAATTTGAGATGGAATCTCGCTCTGTTTCCCAGGCTGCAGTGCAATGGCACCATCTTGGCTCACTGCAACCTCCGCTTCCCTGGTTCAAGTGATTCTTCCACCACAGCCTCCCCAATAACTGGGATTACAGGCACTCACCATCATGCTGGGCTAATTCTTGTATTTTTAGTAGAGACGGGGTTTCATCATGACCTGGCCAGGCTGGTCTTAAACTCCTGACCTCAGGTAATCTGCCTGCCTCAGTTGCCCAAAGTGCTGGGATTACAGGCGTGAGCCACCACTTAGAAGTGAAACCTTAGTTTCACTTCTAAGCATTTGCACATCCCAGGATCAGCTCCTGGGCTAACCCTCCACACGTGTCTTACAGCAGTTGACAGACGTGACAACAATACCCCTATAACCTACGTCATTGACCTAGGTTTGGGGTTTGAGGTTTTTCCAAGTTCCCCAGATCAGACAACTAAAGAAATGGCACTTAGTCCTAGAAAGTGCAGTGGTTCATGCCTGTCAGCCCAGCACTTTGGGAGGCCGAGGCAGGAGGGCTGCTCGAGCCCACGAGTTTGAGACCAGCCTCGGGAACATGGCAAAACCCCCTTCTCTACTAAAAATACAAAAATTCGCCAGTTACTTGGGAGACTGAGATGGGAGGCTCACCTGAGCCTGGGAAGGTCGAGGCTACATTATGATTAAATCAGTGCACTCCAGCCGGGGTGTCAGAGTGAGACCCTGTTGCCAAAGAAGAAAAACACACCTCTTCTCTAAGCTGCTTATTTAAAATCTATAAAATAAAATAAAATAACACCAAGATCTAGACATGTGGGTGAGGATGGGGACCAGTGAGGGACTAGAGCATCCCCTACTTCCTTCTGCGGGTTTCCTTTTTTTTTTTTTTTTGAGACGGAGTTTCGCTCTTGTTACCCAGGCTGGAGTGCAATGGCACAATCTCGGCTCACCGCAACCTCCGCCTCCTGGGTTCAGGCAATTATCCTGCCTCAGCCTCCTGAGTAGCTGGGAGTACAGGCGCGCGCCACCATGCCCAGCTAATTTTTTGTATTTTTAGTAGAGACGGGGTTTCACCATGTTGACCAGGACGGTCTCGATCTCTTGACCTCGTGATCCACCCGCCTCGGCCTCCCAAAGTGCTGGGATGACAGGCGTGAGCCACCGCCTTCTGTGGGTTTCTTAAGTGCTTCCATAGCCATGAATTGTGCCCAGAATCAGGGCTTTAATAAATGTGTCCCTCCTGGGATTTGATAGATTCAGGATTCTCTGTAAGCCTTTTTTGGCCCTGGAGCCAGATGACATCAGGCTGAGTCTCTAATCTTGTGGCCCAGTGCGCAACGTCACCTTTGACCAGCTATGTAAGCTTGAGCAGTTTCCACCTCTCAGTGCTTCAATGTCCTCATCACCGCCTTCTACTCTGTTCTCCCTCTGAACATCTTTCGGGAATCTTAACCCTAACACACAGGACCTCCTTTGATCAAAAGTGTCCATGCCTTCTAGCGGCCTCACGGTCCAAGTTCAACCCTCACCCTGGTACTGGAGAAATAACTCCGCCTCGGCCAGGCGCGGTGGCTCATGCCTGTAATCCCAGGGCTTTGGGAGGCCGAGGCGGGAGGCTTACCTGAAGTCAGGAGTTCGAGACCAGCCTGGCTAACATTGCGAAACCCCGTCTCTACTAAAAATACGTACAAAAAAAATCAGCAGGGCATGGTGGCGCGTGCCTGTAATCCCAGCTACTCAGGAGACTGAGGCAGGAGAATCACTTGAACCCGGGAACCGGCGGTTGCAGTGAGCCAAGATGGCGCCAATGCAATCCAGCCTCGGAGACAGAGCGAGACTCTGCCTCAAAAACAAACAAACAAAAAACTCCGCAATAAAGAAATAAATAAGAAAAAAGAACTGCGCTTCACACTTTGTTCCCAGTACGCACAAGACGTTCCCGAATTCCGAATCCTCCTGGTTCAGTCCACGCCTCCAGGGCTTTGCCCGCGCGGGACCCCAGGCCAGGCTCGCGCTCACCGCCGCATCGACTTGGAGTCGGAAACAGGGATCCCACCCGCCGGCGCCTCTCTGTCCCTGACAGAGGCCTGGACAGCAGAGACGCGAGGAGGCGCCCCTCACAAGCAGGGGCCTCAAGGTCCGAGTGGGCAGGGTGGATGCGGCCCAGAGGTCGCAGCGCTCACCTGAGCGGGTGCCGCCATGATTCTGTGGGCGGGCCGGGAGGCGAGATCGGCGGGGTTCCTGTCCTTGTCCTGTCCCGAGTCGCGACAGACGGCGAGTCCGAGCGTCAGCTCCGCCTGTGTGCAATAGGCACAACCACTCCTCTCGAGCTCATCCAGACCCAGCATTAGCTGCATGGACCCGACAGGCCAAAACAGCCGCCACGGCTAGGACGCCGGAAGTCCCGGCTTGGTGTTACGTGCCCCGGCTACGGCGCGCTTCTTTTGAAGCTTCATTGGCTTAGCCACGCTTCCCTTCCACAGACAGGATTCTGGGTAATGTAGTTCCCGAAGACGTGCAGCGCTTAAGGTCGCCCGCAACCCAACTTTCGGAAGAAAGGGCCAAGCTCCACAGCCAGGAGCGCTAGGAAATGCCGACTCCACGTCCAGATGCAGAGGAGGGGTATCCTGTCTTAGAAAAGGCCATACTTCGCTGGGCGCGGTGACTTACGCCTGTAATCCCAGCATTTTGGGAGGCCGAATCACGAGGTCCAGAGATTGAGACCATCCTGGCCAACACGGTGAAATTCCGTGTCTACTAAAAATACAAAAATTACCAGGGCGTGGTGGCGCGCGCCTGTAATCCCAGCTACTCAAGAAGCCGAGGCGAAAGAATCGCTTCAACCCCGGAGGCGGAGGTTGCAGTGAGCCGATACGGTCCCACTGCGCTGCCTGAAATTAGGGGCCCTAAGAGCCTACTTGGTGCTCTACCCTACTGTGGCCAAACTGGTATCTAAGCTGCAAGGCAAAGTCTTTTTTCTTTATTTATTCTGGAAGCCGCTTCCAAGATCGCGCAGCCAGCGGGGGGCGGGGGGCGGCGGCTGGCTGGCCGTCTTCTTTACTCTTCCCTATTTCTCAAGCAGGAGGAGCCACTCCTGAAAGCCAGCAGAGCTGGGAACGTGCTGGGTCACACTCGAAGCCAGCATGTCTGAGTCTCACCAATGGCACATGGTGAGTACTACCTGTGCGCTACTGCTGATTATTCAGGGCCCAATGATTCTTTAGTCAGCAGGTGATGAATCCTGCCAGGACTGAATCCTAAAGTGAGTTCTCTTCCAGCCCAGGGTATTTGTAGAAATGCCGTTCAGAGCTAGGGCCTAGAATAGGGGCCTTAGCATGGTGTCCTACCCTACTGTAGCTGAGCTGGTGTCAAGTTCCAAGACAAAGTCTTTTGTATCCTTCCCTCTCCTCTCTTTGACTGGAGGGAAGGAGTCTCTCCTGGAAATGTGAGCTGTGCTCCCTGAGGTTGGGAGAGGGGTACACATGTTCACCTATCATGTGAGTTGCGCACTACACACCAAGGAATTAACACAAGAGAAATGAAACTTTATTTATATGAAGAACTGCATTCAAATGTACGTAACAAGCAGTTTTATTTCTAACAGACAAAAACAAGAAGAAATAATATATCCATAAGCAGTATATACAGTGATTTTTATAGCATGTCACATTCTAAGATAAAAAGAATGAACTACTTATATATCATGATTGATGAATGTCAAAATATATATCCTGCTATGTGAAATAATAAAAAATAAAGAAAAAAGAACATGAAAATAAATAGGACTCAGGAGAGTGCTCAGGTATGAAAAGATGAAACATGTTAGTCATATAAAATTCCAGAAAACTGACACTAATCTATTGTTAAGCAAATATTATAATTCAGTGATTGTTTGGAGGATGGAGAGGCCAGAGAGAAAGACAGTATTTTTTGTTTTTAAGAAACAGGGTCTTACTATGGGACCCAAGCTAGTCTCAAACGCCTTACCTCAAGCAATACTCCCACCTTGGACTCCCAAAGTGTTGGGATACATGAGTCACTATGCCCAGTCTTATTACAGTTTTAAAAACTTAATTTGAAAGAACTTTCTGGATTTAACAGTATTCAATTTTGACTCTGCTAACTCTCATCACACTCTAAGGGGGCAACTAGACTGTGACAGCAAACACTTATGAACCAGGAAGACCATTTCCACCTGACTAAATTGGAATGCTGGCTGTTTGCCAAGGACGTATCACTAGACTAAGAGGTTTCCCTTCTCTTTATCCTCTTCCTCCTAGTAATTCAGGGATAGCTTTTTGGTAAGCAGCCCAGATAGGCTATAGAAATCCACAAAACCTTTAGATTTACTCTGACAATGACCTGAGCTACACTAGATTCCTAATTACAGAGGTTCTGAAAATTTCTGTACCTGCTTGTCCGTCACAGACATAGAAACTGAATCACTGGGGGTGCCTTTTTAAAAAAAAAGTACATTCCAACTATTCTGTCACAGTCTGCTTGACTACCTAGAAATGCTAATTCTATAAAAAAAACTTTTGTGGGCGGGCATGGTGGCTCACACCTATAATCCTAGTGCTTTCGAGGGCATATGCTAGAGGATTGCTTGAGGCCAGGAGTTCAACATCAGTCAGTGTAAAATAGCAAAACTCTATCTCTACAAAAAATTCTTAAATTACCTGGGCTAATCTCAGGTACTCGGGAGGCTGAGGCAGGAGGATCACTTGAGCCCAGGAGTTTGAGGCCGCAGTGAGGTATGACCATGCCAGTGCATTCCAGCCTGAGTTTCAGAGTGACAGCATGTCCCTAAAAAATAAAAATTAAAAGATTATGACTTCTTCCTCCAGGTATAATGCAGGACACTATCCTACAGAGTTCTGGACTTAGGACACATGAATGCACTGCAGGACTGGAGAACTGATTTCTTTCACTAGTATGAGCACAATGCTATTCCCTGTAAACTAGAGAAGAATTTTGTTCTGTTCTCAGAAGCACTACAGTGTGTCACAAAAATGAAAACACAAATTATTGCACTATTTGGTCTAAAAATAAAGACCACAAAGCCCTGAAGTCTTTCTTTGGAGGCCTTAGACAGCCATCCAAACTAGGCCACAAATGCAGAGCTATATTCTGCCTTCATACTGTCCCCTCAGAGTCACAAAAGCTATTCAACCCTTCATGGGACCAGAACCATGTCGTATCCAAACCACACAAAGCAATGAATAAACAATTCACACAATACAGTGAATACAATTCCCAACACTGAAGCTTAAATAAGAACTTCATCACAGCAGAAACTGGAAGAATGAGAGGCAGGTTGTGCTTGGGTTGCTGAGTTAGAAGCTGCAAAAATCCATCTTAAGAATCGTGAGAATCACAAGATTCCTAGGAAAGTCAATCCATCTTCTCAGGTAATCAGAAAAATTCTTTAGGCCAAGCTTGTCCAACCTGCAGCTTATGGGCCGAGTGTATCTCAGGACAGCTTTGAATGCAGCCCAACACAAATTTGTAAACTTTCTTAAAATATTATGACGGTATTTTGCGATTTTTTAAAAGCTCATCAGCTATCATTACTGTTAGTGTGTTTTACATGTGGCACAAGGCAATCATTCTTCCAATGTGGACCAGGGAAGCCAAAAGATTGGACACTTCTGCTCTAGGCCAAAACCGAAGCAAGTCCATGGCCCAACTCCTCATAGAGAAATGAGAAAGGCAGCCAGGCGCAATGGCTCCTGCCTGTAATCCCAGCACTTTGGGAGGCCTAGGCAGGTGGATCACAAGATCAAGAGTTTGAGCAAAAAAATTAGCTGGGCATGGTGGCACACACCTGTAATCCCAGCTACTCAGGAAGCTGAGGCAGGGGAATTGCTTGAACCAGGGAGGTGGAGGTTGCAGTGAGCTGAGATCACACCACTGCACTCCAACCTGGGTGACAGAGTGAGACTCCATCTCAAAAAAACAAAATAATTAAAAAATAAAAAGAGAAATTAGAAAGGAACGAGTGCAGAAGCTACTCAAAAATCCCACTGCTGAATGGGAGACAGTTGAACTCTGTTTCTGGAATATGACGGAGTGCATGAGTGAGACACTCTGGGTACCAGCAAAGTGGTAGAGGTAAAACGGCTTTTGCCAGAAACCTAACTGAAATAAATCTGGCAAGGGACATACGCAAAATGAGAAATGCAATACAGCTCCCATATACCTGGAATTCATGCAGCTACTGGACGTATGACATTCAGTATAGGTTGATGGTGTCCTCATAAGTGCCCTCTCCCAGAGTTACACTTGACAAGAAGTAATATTCCTGTCCATCTATGGTGTTTTTCTTCTGTCAACATTCTGGTATCCAATGAAAGAAGAGTGAAGCCTTCATCAAACTCTCTGCACTCAAAAGGCACTTCCACAACAGGAGCTTGTCTATGCATAATAAAGCTAGACGTTTAGATAAAGAATGTGCCACATTTGTCATACCATAAACCCTTGATCCAGTGTGAACTTTGATCTTGAAGTCATACAGGTTTGACTAATCAATTTTCCAAATTTACTTCACTGAGAAGGGCTTTCTCTAGTGTCAACTCGCTGGGTAGAGCTTCTGGTAAATGTCTTTCCACATTTGCTACACTGTTAAGCCTTTCTCTAGTATGAACTCTCCTGTGTTTAATGAGACCAGTTTTCCCACAAAGGATTTTCTATTCGAAGTTCTCATAAGGCCTTGTCCAGTGTGAACTCTTATGAACATGGTGTGCAGAGCTGTAGGAAAATGATTTCTCACATTTATATGGCCTTTCTCCATTGTGACTGCTCTGTGAATAGTAATGCAGCTCTTCTGGCTAATTTCACAAATTCCTTACAGTCATATGGCCTTTCTCAACTGTGAACTCTTGTGTTCAGTGAGGGGGTACTTCTTAAGTAATTTCCCATAACCGTAAGGTCTTTATCCAGTGTGACTCCTTTGCTATTTTCTGAGGTAAAACTTCTATGTACTGGATTTCATACATTCTCTACACTCAAAAGGCCTTTATCCACTGTGATCTTGCTATTGTTGAATAAGGCCAACTTTTTGACTAGATTTTGCACATTCTCCACACTCATAAGCTCTTTCCAGTGTGATCTCACTGATGTTGAATGAGGGTACCCTTTTTACCAGATTTGCCAGATTTTCAACATTCATGATGTCTTTCTCCTGTGTGAACTCGTTGATGTTTAATGAGGTTTCCCTTTTGACGAAAACACTTCCCACATTCTCCACATTCATGTGGCCTTTCTCCCGAGTGAATTTGCTGATGTCGAATGAGGCTGCCCTTTTGATGAAAACATTTCCCACATTCTCCACATTCATGTGGCCTTTCTCCAGAGTGAATCTGCTGATGTTGAATGAGACTGCCCTTTTGATGGAAACATTTCCCACATTCTCTACACTCATATGGCCTTTCCCCAGTGTGAACTCTCTGGTGTTCAGTGAGGTGTGACTTGTACCTAAATGACTTCCTACATTCTTTACACTCATAGGGTCTTTCTCCAGTGTGAACTCTCTGATGCTCCTTTAGATGGGAGTTGCTCCTAAATAATTTCCCACATGCCATACATTCATAAGGCCTCTCTCCAGTATGAACTCGCTGATGTTGAATGAGGTTGCACTTGTGATTAAAAGATTTCCCACATTCTCCACACTGATAAGGTTTTTCTCCAGTGTGAACTCGCTGGTGGTGAACAAGGCTGCGCTTATGGCTAAAAGATTTCCCACATTCATCACATTCATAAGGTCTTTCTCCAGTGTGAACTCGCTGATGGTCAATAAGACTGTGCTTATGACTAAAAGATTTATCACATTCTCTACACTCATAAGGTCTTTCTCCAGTGTGAACTCTCTGGTGTTCAGTGAGATGGGCCTTATACCAAAATGATTCATCACACTGTCCACACTGATAAGGTTTTTTTCCAGTGTGAACTCCCTGATGATTATTGAAACTATTACTTTTGCTAACGAATTTCCCAGAATCACTGCACACATAAGGTCCTTCTCTAGGGAGAAGTCTCTGGTGAAGGGCAAGTGAGTATTTGTTGCTGAAGGGTATTGTGGACTCTCCACAAATGTAATGAGTGTTTCCACCCTGAAAGGGTGTCCCATGCTTAGTTTCAATATTTGACTTCCCTGAAGTGTGAATGTCCTCTTGTTGGAATAATCTCAAGCTGGACAAAAAGTCTTTCCCAATCTCATGAAAGATAAATGGCTCATGTAACACATGGAATTTACAGTTCTTTACAAATGATGTTTTCTTGGCATTGCTTCTGTATGATTCCTCTCCAATGTGCTGCTTCTGATCTTGATAATGGTTTGCACTGTCATCTAATTTTTTTTCACATGCCCCAAAACTATTCAATTTCTGATTGTGTTGTGTTCCCTGGTGTAAGGTACCTCCCAGGAGAGGGCCACACACTCCCCAGGGGTGGGCCTTCTTTGTACATACTCCTGTCCAATGTGACCTGAGGGGAGACTGCTGTTGTATAGAAAGGGTCTGCTTAGAAGGTGTCTCATCTTTTGCTCCATACCAACAACCTAAAAGAAAGAAAATGCTGGTAAAATGCAAGCTTCTGAAGCGAAGTACCTGCAAGTATTTCCATGGACTAATATTTCTGTTTGTAAGATACACTTGTTAGTGACAAGTTTATCTAACAAACAGAGGTATAACTCCATGGAAATAATTACAGGAACCAAATGTTGCCTTTAGGTTGAAGGGAAGGCTTCTTCATATTACTGGGTTAGAATGGTTACAAGATGCAGGGGGCCACATGATGTGAAGGAACCAACAATACATGCACTACAGGGAGTAGAGGCAGGGTCTACAATTCCTTCCTATGCAAACATCTAAAGGACTTTTATAAAGCATGTGGGTGCTATATACAAGGATACGTTTAGGCCAAAGAAAATCTGAGTATAAGAAAGCAGCTGTTGGTCAGGTATGGCTTAGCAATGTGTACACACTTCCTAATACTAAACTGATATGCCAGTATTGGAGTCTACTGCAGATGGAAATGTGAGGAAAATGGGTGACAGGTGGGATCCAGAGATGTGAAGATTAGCCCTGAGCTGGCGTCAGAGTAGAAGTGACAGGGTATAGAATGGTGAAGTCTGAACCTCTCAGGAATGGGGAAGACAGAAAGAGCATATGGCTAGTCATGTTGCCAGGTAAGTACTAGTGAGATAGGAGAGCTTCTGGTATGACTTCCCAATCCCTGCTGTTATGTCTTCCTCACTCTGAGCCCACCATGCTGAGCCTAGATTTAACTGCAACTTCTGAAATACTGAGGACTCTGAATCCCACTGCAAAGATATAAATGGAATCTACATGGGAAATGATGATGTAAAGAATAACAGAGGCTGGGCGCAGTGGCTCATGCCTGTAATCCCAGCACTTTGGGGAGCTGAGGCAGGCAGATCACAAGGTCAGAAGTTTGAGACCAGCCTGGCCAACATGGTGAAACAGCGTCTCTACTAAAAATACAAAAAAATTAGCCGGGTGTGCTGGCAGGTACCTATAATCCCAGCTACTGGGGAGGCTGAGGCAGAAGAATCACTTGAACCCAGGAGGTAGAGTTTGCAGCAAGCCAAGATCTCGTCTCTATTGTACTCCAATCTGGGTGACAGAGTGAGACTCCGTCTCAAAAAATAAAAATAAAAAAAAGACAAGAAAGAAGAACAGCCAAACAGCCAACAATAGTTCAGAAAAAATCAGCACCTAATAGCCCATAGGAAAGGAAACTACATTATTACAAAGTAAATTTTTGGCCAGATGCAGTGGCTCACACCTATACCAGCACTTTGGGAGGTCAAACTGACAGGACTGCTTGAGCCTAGGAGTTCCAAACCAATCTGGGTAACATAATGAGACACCATCTCGACAAAACAAACAAACAAAAATTAGTTGGGCAGGGTGACATGCTCCTGTAGTCCCAGCTACTTAGGAGTCAGATGGATGGATTACTTGAGCCCAGAAGGTTGAGAATGCAGTGAGCCATGAATGCGTCCCTAGACTACAGTCTGGAAGACAGTGAAACTGTCAAAATAAAGATCAGGGCACAGCAGTTCATGCTTGTAATCCTGGCACTTTGGAAGCATGAGGTGGGAGGATCAGGTGAGGTCAGGAGGTGGAGACCAGCCTGGGCAATACCGTCAGACCTCATCTCTATTCAAAATAAAAATAAAGGCCGGGTGCGGTGGCTCACGCCTGTAATCCCAGCACTTTGGGAAGCCAAGGCAGGTGGATCACGAGGTCAAGAGATCGAGACCATCCTGGTCAACATGGTGAAGCGTGCCTGTAATCCCAGCTACTCGGGAGGCTGAGGCAGGAGAATTGCCTGAACCCAGGAGGCGGAGGTTGCGGTGAGCCGAGATCGCGCCATTGCACTCCAGCCTGGGTAACAAGAGCGAAACTCCGTCTCAAAAAATAACAAAAATTAGTAAGATGTGGTGGCAGAGGCCTCTATTCCCAGTTACTCCAGAGGCTGAGGAAGGAGGATTGCTTAAGCCTGGGAGATGGAGGCTATAGTGAGCTATGATTGCACCACTGCACTCTAGCCTGGGTGACGTTAACTGAAAGCAAAACAGAATAAAACAAAACAAACAAGATAATTTAAAGAAGGGTCTTGCAAGAACAGCCTATGGTACATGTAAGTATTGAGAAGATCAGTGACAGGAGGTATTCCTGGCACAGGCAGTCATAAATAAACACCTCGAGCAAGGCAGCAGAACCTGAGCATACCAGAGTCTTGGAGCTGCAAAAATTACCCAACAGGCAGAGGGCAAGCAAGATGGGATGCATTATGGTGCCTGTAAAGCTCCTTCTCTGGGAACTTCCAGCAAAGCAGCTGTTGGGCTGCTGAAGGAGAAGAGAGGGCAGTACACACACCTGAGTCCTACCTTCCACAGAACCCACCCAGGGAACTCATAGAGGAACCTGCGCCCAGGTTCCTGAAGTGAGGAAAATAGTCTTGCCATGGGGAAAAAAAAAATGGGGAAGGGCAGACACTAGCTGAGGTCACAGAAGAGTATGAGGGCCTTACCTAGAGAAGATATAAGTGCCAGGTTCTCCAGCATCACGTCATGATAAAGGCATCTCTGAGCCTCAGTAAGGATACTCCATTCCTCCTGGGAAAACTTCACAGCCACATCTTCAAAGGTCACAGTGCCCTGCCATGATGATGACACATGAAACCACAAATACCCCATATGCTCATCCACTTATCCACCCGTGCCTTTCCTCCTCCCAAGGTTCTCAACTACAAGGAGAAACGAGGCCCGCTGGTGTCACTGTCTTCTCATGGGCTCACTGGGCATGGTGTACAGGTACATCAGCAACAAGAAGTGGGTGAACCAATAGGTTTCTGTGTTTTGGTACTGAAATAAAGCAGTCCATACCTCCTGATAGCCATAGCCCTGCTAGAGACAAAGTAATATAAATCCCAATACAGCACCCTGGGTCCATCAGACACACTCCCTCTCTAAATACACATCATTCATTCCCTTTTTTTTCTTTGAGATAAAGTTTCATTCCCATTGCCCAGGCTGGAGTGGAATGACATGATCTCAGCTCACTGCAACCTCTGTCTCCTGGACTCAAATAATTCTCTAGCCTCAGCTTCCCGAACAGCTGGGAATACAGGTGTGTGCCACCATGCCTGGCTATACTTTTTTGTATTTTTGGTTAAGACAAGGTTTTGCCACGCTGCCCAGGTTGGTCTCAAAATCCTGAGCTTGAGTGATTTGCCCACCTCAGCCTCCCAGAGTGCTGGGATTACAGGCCTAAGCCACCGTGCTAAGCCAAAATATACATCATTCTTTAGATTGCACAGACATATGCCCATGGCCACTCCCACCAAACTGCCTCTCACATTTGCCTCTCTGCCTACCCACAAGTATGTTTATATCCTCTTCTTCCTTCTACCAGTAAGAGCGGGATTTTTACCTTACAGTTATATTAATGACCAAACACATGACATCAAACACTAGACTGATGCTACAAATATGTTTAAAAATCAAATATACTCAAAGTCTGGCAGAGGACACCCCTCAACATAGAGGACCACATGGAAGGTGCACGATGGATAAGAGTGCATAACCAGAAACTATGGAATGCAAGCTTTTAAAATGTAGAGGGCATGATGACCCTCGAGTCCCTTGAGAGGATGCAACCGGCTTGTTTGAATAACACTGTGGGTAAGCATAAAATTGAAACTCACTACCAAGTATAATAAGCAGGAATTCTGCCTGGTCTCCCTAATGAAAGGATTATTAGGCATGCCGATAATTATACAGAAGAGCCTAGTGGGAAGGGAACTGGCTCTCAGGCCACTTGAGGTCATACCAGTATCACTGGATATCAAAGTGGCACATCATACTGGTCCTCCATCTTTGCCTCTATACCACAATACGGCTGACAGCACCAAATAGGCTTCACATATTCAAACAGGATCCAATAATAACACAAAATGACCATGGTTCCCATTAGCAGTGGTAGTCCCTAATAATTCTATGAATGTCTCCTTGCATGACTCCACAGCCACGCAAAAAACATGTAACTTCAGACAGCCATGGTCTTATTCCGCTTCTGTGCTGCACTGCACTTCTTTAGCAACATGGAGCATCTTACATTCACCTAACACCACTGACATTTAAAGACCAGTCCTGAGGCCAGGCGCGGTGGCTCACGCCTGTAATCCCAGCACTTTGGGAGGCCGAGGAGGGTGGATCACGAGGTCAAGAGATCAAGACCATCCTGGTCAACATGGTGAAACCCCGTCTCTACTAAAAATACAAAAACTTAGCTGGGCATGGTGGCGCGCGCCTGTAATCCCAGCTACTCAGGAGGCTGAGGCAGGAGAATTGCCTGAGCCCAGGAGGTGGAGGTTGCAGTGAGCCGAGATCGCGCCATTGCACTCCAGCCTGGGTAACAAGAGCGAAACTCCATCTCAAAAAAAAAAAAAAGACCAGTCCTGGACAGGGGCAGTACCATTTTGGGAGGTGGCTCCTAGCATGCTGGGAGGCCGAGGCGAGTCGATTGTGAGCAAGGTCAGGAGTTTGGCCAATATGGTAAAACCCCATCTCTATTTAAAAAAAAAAAATTAGCCTGGCATGTGCGCGCGCCTGTATCTCAGCTGCCAGGAGGCTGAGGCAGGAGAATCACTTGAACCTGGGAGGCAGAGGTTTCAGTGAGCCAAGATTGTGTCACTGCGCTCCAGCCTGGGCAACAGGGCAAGACTCTGTCAAAAAATAAAAAAATAAAAAAAAGACCAGTCCTGTTTTTAATACATTCAAGGCCCAAGACTTACTGACGATTACAAATGACCATATGTCTCCCTGAGCATATTCAGAAGGCCTAACAAAATTCCCCACGAACTACTAAAGTCATCACAAATCTTGATTGCACAGAGTGATGAATAAGCATCACTGTGGCCTAAGTGTCATCTTCCCTCAATTTGACTTCTGCATGTATCTATTTCACATCTATTCTCTCCTTGAAAGTCTATGTCCCCTGGCAAACTACGCTGTCAGGTATACTTTACCATCATGGTCACTTCCCTACCTCTCCAGTGTTTAGGAAGCCCAGTAACATTACCTAGGGACCCAAGCATCATTCAACCACTGCTTTCTGGTCCCCTAAGACATTTACTACCGGAATCTGAAGTGTGCTCTCCTTAATGTGACCCATGACGCACACACCATAGCACACATTAGCTACCATATATTACATGTCTCCAGTATCAGTCCCTTCCCAGCTACCCCAACCTGTACGTCCAATTACATATTTGACGCCGACTTACCCGTCTCCGACTCTTCACATGGCCAAAAGTCACCTTGATATCTCATAATATTCTAATTCTGTCTACTACCAACACGCTCATCTCAGTTGATGCAGCTTCCATACCTACAGCTGCTAAGACCAAAAACCCTGGGTTCCTGATTGCTCTCTTCATGCCCTTACTTTGCATATTAGGAAATCTAGATGCTGGAATCCAGCCACATCTCCTCAGCTATAAATCCAGTCTGTTAACCTCCACTTGGATTCTATAACAAGAACCTCAACTCTCATCTTACTTCCTCCTCCCTCAGCCCCACAGTCTGTTCTGCACTGTAGAGCCAGAGAAGATTACAGCCAGATGAAACTGCGGCAACACCACCTCCGCCCTCTGGTCAGTTTCACCTCTAAGCATTTCACATCCTGGTACCAACTCCTGGGTTAACCTCCCAAGTTTTTTTTTTTTTTTTTTTTTTTTTTTTTTTTGAGACGGAGTTTCGCTCCTTACCCAGGCTGGAGTGCAATGGCGCCATCTCGGCTCACCACAACCTCCGTCTCCTGGGTTCAGGCAATTCTCCTGCCTCAGCCTCCTAAGTAGCTGGGATTACAGGCACGCGCCACCGTGCCCACCTAATTTTTTGTATTTTTGGTAGAGACGGGGTTTCACCATGTTGACCAGGATGGTCTCGATCTCTTGACCTCGTGATCCACCCGCCTCAACCTCCCAAAGTGCTGGGATTACAGCACCCGGCCAACCTCCCAAGTATGTTTATACTGTTTGACAGAAATGGGAATAACCTCCATATATCCTGTGTCACAGATTTAGGATCCTGGGTTTAAAGTTTCTCCAGGGCTCCCAGATCCAAAAACTAAAAGGAAATGGTACCTAAGAGTCCCAGGACACCCCATCTGCCCAAAGAGCATATGGATGGGAGTCAGGGCCAGTGAGGGAAGTGCTTCTGCAGCCAGGAGTGCCCGAGAGGAGAGGCACAAGCTACAGGAATGTGTCTCTGATGGGATCTGATAAGCTCAGGCCTCCCTGAACCCCTTCCTGGCCCTGTAACCAGGGAAACGCGGGCTGGTTGTCTCAACTGAACGCCTCAATGCAAAATGTCATCTCTTAGCATCTATGTGATTCTACAAGAATTTAACCTCTCAGGGCCCGAAAGGCATCCCCTCTGTTCTTTCACTGGTTGGACTTTGGGAGACCTTTAGGGCCCGGTCTTTGATGTTGACCTTCCTTTGCTGGAAGCTGTCCATGGCTTCTAACGTTCTCAGGGTGAATGCACAGTCCCCGGCCTCCTCTCCCAGGAGGAGCTCTGCCTCACGCTCTGCTCCCGAAAGGTGCCTGTGGACCCTGGGTTCCGATCCTCCCGGCTCAGTTCATCTCCAGACCTTTGCCCACACTGGTCCCTGTGCCTGTCGCTCTCCTCACCGCATCCCGCCAGGTTCAGGCTGTAGAGCCTTGAGCAAGCGCCGCCTGCCAGATGCTTTTGGACTTAGGTAAAGATGAGGTGACTTGAGGGCACGGAAGACGCCACAGTTACCTGAGCCGGGAGCCTCCGCGCGGCCGCCGCCATCAGACTGGGTGGGGAAAGCGGGGTCGGGAGGAGGTGGCGAGCAGGGCAGGTACTCGGGCACCGTGGTCCAGATCCCGACGTTGGTGCTGGTCACGCCTAGAGCCTTCGAGGAACGGCAGAGCAGCCGTTGTGCCGTCGGGACAACGTCTCCTCTCCACCTTCTGGGTTCACTCACGTCTGCCCGATCCAGCGCTCCGAGGTCTGTCACCGGAAAACACACCTAACACCAATCAAAATGGCCGCTAGTAGAGGACGCCGGAAGTCCCGCCTTTAAATTACGCGCGCTCGCGGAAACACCTTTATTCTGAGCCTTCATTGGCTCCGACAAGCTGTCATGCGATGTAGAGATTTCTGGGTTATGTAGTTTCCTAAGGTTCCAAGGCGGTAAAGAAGGAGCTTCTGCAGGAAAGGTCCAGCTCCACCTCGGTGATCTGTCCTTAAGTACGGGTCCTTCTACGGTAGAGGATAGTCTTAACGAGCCTTAGAACCCGTACTGACATTTTTTGGAAATTAATGTCTATAACTGATCACTCAAGTATTTGGAAAAACTATTTTAGATTCTGGGGAACTCAGCTCTCCGACGCTAAAATTATTTAGGATGCCCCAAAGGCTAAAAAACCCAAACTATCACACCGTTTGGAAGAGTCCTTCAGTCGCAAAATCCCTGTACTGTTAGCAGAGGCTGATAAATATTATTGTGCGCTCTAAGGCATTAGAGTCAGTTTCTCAGTCTGTCAGGGACAAGAGAGAACTAATCCAGATGGGACAAGACAAGGAAGATAGAGGAGAGATGTTGTGCTCCCGAAAGTAGGAATACATGGTGAATCTCTCTCTGTGATTTCCAAAGAAAACAACTCTCTTGGCCATAAAATCAGTTATAGTGTGCAGTTCCTCGAGCAATACTTTTTTCCTCTTAGTATTCCTTGCTTGAGATTCTAACTTATATTCAATTAATCTGGGAATGTTTTATCAGTCTTACAGGAAGACCAATGAGATAAATGTTATTTTGTAGTGATAGATGGCTGCGGTTTTACTTTTTCTTTTTTTTTTAAAGACGGGGTTTCACCATGTTGGTCGGGCTGGTCTTGAACTCCTGACCTCAGGTGATCTGCCCGCCTTGGCCTCCAAAGTGCTTGGATTACAGGCAAGACCCACACGCCCAGTCTTTTTTTCTGTTTTTTTTTTTTGTTGTTGTTGTTGTTGTTTTGGTTTTTGTTTTGTTTTTGGTTTTTTTTTTTGAGACGGAGTTTCGCTGTTGTTACCCAGGCTGGAGTGCAATGGCGCGATCTTGGCTCACGGCAACCTCGGCCTTCTGGATTCAAGCAATTCTCCTGCCTTAGCCTCCCTAGTAGCTGGGATTACAGGCACGCACCACCATGCCCAGATAATTTTTGTATTTTTAGTAGAGACAGGGTTTCACCTTGTTGACCCGATGGTGTTTTTTTTGTTGTTGTTTTTTTTAAGACGGGGTTTCACCGTGTTGGTCAGGCTGGTCTTAAACTCCCGACCTCAGGTGATCCGCCCGCCTTGGCCTCCAAAGTGCTTGGATTACAGGCGTGAGCCACTACGCCCGACCTTTTTTTTTTTTTTTTTGAGACGGACTCTCACTCTGTCACTGAGGCTGGAGTGCAGTGTCACGATCTCAGCTCACTGCAACCTCTGCCTCCCGGGTTCAAGCGATTCTTCTGCCTCAGCCTCCTGAGTAGCTGGGATTACAGGCACGCGCCAACATGCCCAGCTAATTTTTCTATTTTTAGTAGACACAAGTTTCACCATCTTGGCCAGGCTGGTCTCAAACTCCTGATCTCCTGATCCGTCCGACTTGGCCTCCCAAAGTGCTGGGATTACAGCCGTGAGCCACCGCACCCAGCCATGGCTGCAGTTTTCAAAGGTGGAGCACGTATGTAGAAGATGCTCTCCATCTATTGATATTGGGTGTGTCTTAAATCCAGGAGTTCATGTTATTGCTGAGAAGTGGCTATTCTTTCTGTTTCCAATGCAGGGAGTGCTTTGCATAAGCAGTTAATGTTATGTTAGGAATACAGTTGAAAAATGTAAATTCCAAAACCCTATTAAGAATTATTATGGCTGGGCCCAGTGGCTCAAACCTGTAATCCGAGCATTTTGGGAGGCAAAGGTGGGTGGATCGCGAGGTCAATAGATTGAGACCATCCTGGTCAACATGGTGAAACCCCGTCTCTACTAAAAATTCAAAAAATTAGCTGGGCATGTTGGCGCGTGCCTGTAATCCCAGCTACTCAGGAGGCTGAGGCAGGAGAATTGCCTGAACCCAGGAGGCGGAGGTTGCGGTGAGCCGAGATCGCACCATTGCACTCCAGCCTGGGTAACAAGAGCGAAACTCCGTCTCAAAAAAAAAAAAAAAAAAGGAAAAAAAAGAATTATTATGTTGGCCATGTGCAGTGGCTCAGGCTACCTAATCCTAGCACTTTGGGAGGTCAAGGTGGGAGGATTGCTTGAGGCCAGAAGTTTGAGACCAGCCTGGCCAACATGGTGAAACCCCATCTCTACTAAAAATACAAAAATTAGCTGGGCATGGTAATGGGTGCCTGTAATCCCAGCTACTCGGGAGGCTGAGGCAGGAGCGTCACTTGAACCCTGGAAGTGGAGGTTGCAATGAGATAAGATACTGCCCCGTACTCCAGCCTGGAAGACGAGTGAGACTCGTCTCAAAAAAAAAAAAAAAAAAAAAAAATTATGTACAAAAATGTATATGTAATAATAAAAATTTTTTAAAAAGGCCCGCCGGCCCGCCCCCGACACGGTGGCTCATACCTGTAATTCCGGCATTTTGAGAGGCCGAGGCGGGTGGATCATTTGAGGTCAGAGGTTTGAGACCAGCCTGACCAAAATGGTGAAACCCTGTTGTCTATTAAAACTACAGGCCAGGCGCGGTGGCTCACGACTGTAATCCCAGCACTTTGGGAGGCCGAGGCGGGTGGATCACAAGGTCAAGAGATCGAGACCTTCCTGGTCAACATGGTGAAACCCCATCTCTACTAAAAATACAAAAATTAGCCGGGCATGGTGGCGCGTGCCTGTAATCCCAGCTACTCGGGAGGCTGAGGCAGGAGAATTGCGTGAACCCAGGAGGCGGAGGTTGCGGTGAGCCGAGATCGCGCCATTGCACTCCAGTCTGGGTAACAAGAGTGAAACTCCGTCTCAAAAAAAAAAAGAGTTCTTCAGAACATGTGGTGGGGGCTGAGGCCACTGAGGGAATGGGACATCTTCCACTTACCTGTATTGGTTCCATAAGCCCTTCTGCAGCCAGAGGAACCTGTGCGAAGGGGCAGGCCTTATGAGAATGTGTTCACAGCGGGGTTCAACGAACTCATGCCTACCCGTCTCTTTACCTAGCCCTGGAACCAGGTGACCTCCAGCTAGATGCCCACCTACCGTGCCTCAGTGCTCGCTGTCTCTTCTCACCAGCTGTGTGATCTTGAACAAAGATTGAAAGTCTCAGTGCTTCCGTGCCCTCAACACTCCTAGTCCTGAACAGCCCTGGGAAAACTTAAAATCCTAAAATAGACTGTGCCTCCTTTTTTTTTTTTTGAGACGGAGTTTCGCTCTTGTTACCCAGGCTGGAGTGCAATGGCGCGGTCTCGGCTCACCGCAACCTCCGCCTCCTGGGTTCAGGCAATTCTCCTGCCTCAGCCTCCTGAGTAGCTGGGATTACAGGCGCGCGCCACCATGCCCAGCTAATTTTTGCATTTTAGTAGAGACGGGGTTTCACCATGTTGACCAGGATGGTCTCGATCTCTTGACCTCGTGATCCACCCTCCTCGGCCTCCCAAAGTGCTGGGATTACAGGCTTGAGCCACCGCGCCCGGCCCTGTGCCTCCCTTTTGTTCAAAAGTCTCCGTGTCCTCTAGAATCCTCACATCAAAGGTACAGCCATTACTCTGCGATTCCAGGCTTCACTTTGCCTCACCCAGGTCCTCACGGAACAAAGAGGGGCCCAGGTTCCCCCGTCCTCCCGGCTCGGTCCTGCCTCCGAGCCTTTGCACCTGCGGGTCCCTGTGCTTCTCATGCTCTGCCCTCCCCACCACACCGGAAGTGCCAATCAGGGGCCCCAGCACCATCGCCTCGCTGATCCCACCTCTGGGGCCTGGACTGCGGGGACGCGGGCAGGCGTCTCTCACTCCGGACTTTTGGACTTGGGTGGGGAGGGCGGGGGAGGCCCGGAGGCTGCAGGATTCACCTGAGCCTGGGCCCTTCGCGCGGCCGCCGCCGCCGCCGCCATCGGTCTCCGGGCACAAGGGAGATGCGGGTTTGGCGGTCACTAAGGGCGGCGCCGAGCCTCAGCCCGCCACCGGGCAGCGGAGACAACGCTCCTTCTCCGGGCCGGTCTCCAGGGTTCCGCCGCAGCGCTCAGGAATTGCAGACGGAGTGAATGAACCCGAGCGAGGCCATTCTGCCCGCCGCAAAGAGGACGCCGAAAGTCCCGCCTCCGCAGTTAGGCCTGCGCAGGAAACGCCGCCGGCGCAGGGCATTCTGGGAAATGTAGTACAAAGGAGGGTCTCAGTGTACGGGCCCCACAGAAAGCATTTCTCCTGCCTGTATTATTCCATCCAATTCACTGAGCAACACTTTTATCCACTTATCATCCTTTACTTAGTATCATGACATATATATAAAGACTTGGCCGGGCGCGATGGCTCACGCCTGTAATCCCAGCACTTTCGGAGGCCGAGGCAGGTGGATCACGAGGTCAAGAGATCGAGACCATCCTGATCAACATGGTGAAACCCCGTCTCTACTAAAAATACAAAAAATTAGCTGGGCACGGTGGCGCGTGCCTGTAATCCCAGCTACTCAGGAGGCTGAGGCAGGAGAATTGCCTGAACCCAGGAGGCGGAGGTTGCGGTGAGCTGAGATTGTGCCATTGCACTCCAGCCTGGGTGACAAGAGCGAAACTCCGTCTCAAAAAAAAAAAAATATATATATATATATATATATATACCTATATATATATAATATCACAATAAATCTTGTATTGATACTTAAAAATTTCCTTCTAATTTTGGAATGAGAAAATATTTTTGGCAACTGTACATTCAAAAAGACATTTGGCTAAGAGGCTCATTTACAATGTGGTAGGTGATGATTTTATCTTCTCTATTGGGATTTCTCTTAATCAAGGCTTGGAGGACTTTCAGAAGTGGGAGTGGTTAGGGTTGGGTGAACTTAGCCTGAGAGTGCAGTCACTAAAGTAAGGCTGCCGTTCAGAAGTTTACTTCCAAAAGCAAGACCACTGGAGACAGGCCCGGGCTGTTTGGTCGTCAGCTAGGAGAAGCTTTCTCTGAGTTCTGGACTGGGTTGTATCACTGGTTGATTTTCAGTAGCTTCGTAGTGCCATTCATCTGCTTCCGTTCAGTAGTGTAATACTGGAGTGAGGCTGTCACAGATGGGTTGATTTTCAGAGCATGTGTATTGATCCATAGTTATCTCAAATTAATTGAAGTTAGTTGTTTAAGACTTTGTCAAAAGAACAGTCTTTTCCATTCTTGAATTTGAAAAAAATAAGATTTTTAAATTCTAAGTGCCACCTATTGGTCTCCCGTTAGCCGGAAGAGAGACCTGCAGAGAGACCATAGACCAGTGGTCCCCAACATTTTCAGCATCAGGCGCCAGTTTCATGAAAGACAATTTTCTTTTAACAGACAGGAATGGACTCTTAAATGGGTGAGGGGATGGAGGTGGAATTAATTAGATTCTCATAAGGAGTATGCAACCTAGATCCCCGCACATGCACAGTTCACAATAGGGTTTGTGCTCCTATGAGAATCTGATGCCACCCTGATCTGATAGGAGGTAGAGTTCAGGTGGCAATGCGTGCTTGCCAGCACTCACCTCCTGCTGTGCTGTCTGGTTCCTAACAGGCATGGACCAGTACCATTCTGCAGCCTGAGATTTGGGGACGCCTGCCATAGATATTGTTTAGGCCTCTACTCATGGAGGTATGATTTTCAGTTAGTGTTGCCGTTTAATTGAGTTAAGAGCCAATTACTGTGATGGAAAAATAGCCCTAACTGCTAAATTTTAGTAGTTTATTGAGGAAAAAAAGCTGAGCACAGATTATTTAGGGTATTGTGACAAAGTCAAAAGGGGATACAGGACAAAAATCATTATATGCAGAATATACTCTGTATGTCTAAAAATCTTGGGAACTTTATTAGTGAAGTCTCTCATGCTACTAATACATCTAAAAAGCACCTATTGAGAGCTCGTAGGTGTTCCTTGGATGTATATTTTAAAAGTGAATTATCAAGACAGCACAACTTTGCTGATAATTTTTACCATTCTGATATCCTCTTTACAATTGCTCAGCATTTCCAGGAGAAAAGAGTCACATTTTGTAGGCAAAATGTGGTCAGATTCCAATGTAACCACACGTTTAACTTCATTCTTTCACTTCATTTTTTTTTTTTTTTTGAGACGGAGTTTCGCTCTTGTTACCCAGGCTGGAGTGCAATGGTGCGATCTCGGCTCACCGCAACCTCTGCCTCCTGGGTTCGGGCAATTCTCCTGCCTCAGCCTCCCGAGTAGCTGGGATTACAGGCACGCGCCACCATGCCCAGCTACTTTTTTTGTATTTTTAGTAGAGACGGGATTTCACCATGTTGACCAGGATGGTCTCGATCTGTTGACCTCGTGATCCACCTGCCTCGGCCTCCCAAGGTGCTGGGATTACAGGCTTGAGCCACCGCGCCCAGCCCTCTTTCACTTCTCGTACTCAAGTATTCAGGCTCACACTTCACTGAGATCTTAACTTTGTCCATCTATCGCAGATATTTCCTCAAAGCAACGTCTTTCCTTATCTTCAAATAACTACAGAATCATTATTAACAGCTTTCAGGATTCCCCCCCCCCCCAGGGATAATCTCACTTCCTAATACAGACACCTTATTTACAATGACAGGATAAATGGTAATTGCACTGTGTTTTGCTGGTGTGGATATACTCACCCATTACGAAGGCAGGAAGAGTTTTCTGAGGAAATCTGTCCCTTGATTTCAGGGAGACTCCACATCATCCCTCTTCCTTCTTCCATTCCATAGCCTTGTTTTGAGTTTTTTGTCTTCGGTCTCTAACCAAATTGAAGCTCGCGAAAGTGACCGTGAAGCTTGAGTGTGCACGTGTTTAAAAAGCAACAAGGTAATAGTTATTAGCTCCTAGCTATGAGTGTATGTAAAGAGACACTGCGATGTGGTGTGTCTATTTAGTTTTGCACCTTTAGGGAGCATCTGAAATGTCTCAACATTTCTGCGATGGTGCAGACTACACTCAGGGGAATCTAGGTCCAGACTTTTTTTTTTTTTTGAGACAGAGTTTCACTCTTGTTACCCAGCCTGGAGTGCAATGGCGCGATCTCGGCTCACCGCAACCTCCGCCTCCTGGGTTCAAGTAATTCTGCCTCAGCCTCCCGAGTAGTTGGGATTACAGGCACGCACCACCATGCCCAGCTAATTTTTGTATTTTTAGTAGAGACGGGGTTTCACCATGTTGAGCAGGATGGTCTCGATCTCCTGACCTCGTGATCCACCCGCCAAGGCCTCCCAAAGTGCTGGGATCATAGGCGTGAGCCACCGCGCCCGGCCGGTCCAGACTTTTTAAGAGCACGGAGGTTGGACCTGGAGCGGTGGCTTACGCCTGTAATCACAGCACTTTGGGAGGCCAAGGCAGGTGGATCATAAGGTATGGAGTTCGAGACCAGCCTCCCAATGTGGGGAAACCCCGTTTCTACTAAAAACACAAAAATTAGCCGGGGGCGTGGTGGTGGGCTTCTGAAGTCCCAGGTACTTGGGAGGAGAATAGCACGAACCTGGGAGGCGAAGGTTGCAGTGAGCCAAGATTGCGCCACTGCACCACAGCCTCGGCTATCGAGCGAGAGTCCATCTCAAAAATAAAGTAAAATAAAATAAAAGGAACGGAAATTCTGCCAGCCCTATGAATCTCGAGTTACTTTCCCCAAACACCCAGGCCCTCGTATTTCGAGTGATTTCCCAAGAGCCCGGACCGAGAATTGACCCGCCTGGACGGTAGGTTCAGCGGAAACTACACTACCCACAAACCCATTCGTTACATATCCAGTGAGGGCCCAGGAGAGGCGTGTTTCCGGTCATGAGGAGGGCACGTGGGCAGGACTTCCGTCTCCTCCTCGTAGGGGACATTTTGTTTCGGTGAGGCTGCACCTGGCGGTGGCTCTGTAACACTTGGGTGAGCCGCAGGTGGAGCTGTCGGGAAAGCGCGGAGATGTTGTCTCCGGTGTCCGCAGACTCGCCCGAAGCTCTGCGGAGACGGAAGTGCCTGCGTCCCGGATCGAGACGTCTGCCACTCCCAGCAGCTGTCCGCGCCCACGATCCTGTGACGGAGCTAAGCGACTCCGCACGGGTGGGTGCCGTGTCCTCCGGGCCCTCACCCACCCTTTCTCCGACTCCGAATCGTAAAGTCCCTGCAGCCCTTGTGTCCCAGGACAGCGAAGCACTCTTGGGCAGGATCCTATCTCGGTGTGGGTGGGTGTGGGAGAATCACGGGCGGACGGGACGGCGCGGGCAAAGCCTCGGGGGTGCTGTTGACCCATGGGCTTTTGGGAGACCGGGTTGTCGTCAGCATGGAGCAGAAGTTGAGGAACTGGGCCTGGAGTGGCAGGCTTGAGGCTGAGAAAGCGTTGGGATTACGTGAGGTTTTGACTAGGACGTGATCTTAGCTGGGATTTTACGTGTGTCCAGATTTGCTGAGGAGGGAACATGAGTTTGGGGTGGGGACTGTGAGGATGGGTACGAGGAGACCGGTAAGGAGGTGCTGCAGCGGATTCCAGGAATGCCTTGGTGGTGGATGTACCCGGCAAGAGTGATGGCAGGTGAGTAGGTAGAAGTGATCATATTATGGGTAGGTTTTAAATATGAAACAAGCAGAATTTTCTGCTCCATCATATGCACCTATGATTGAGAGCAAGGCATGAAAGAGCAAGGTGTTTTGTTGTATTTTTCCATGAACGCTTGGATTTCGGAATGATCGCTGTGAGATGTCTCTGAGTGACTGCTTCCTCAGGTAGGCAACTAGAGAGGTCTGAAGTTGTGGGGAAGGGGCTGGACTTAAAATGTTTTTGGGGCTGAGAGTGTGGTCTGGACTAGGTCAAGGCCAGGAGATCACATTTAAATGGGGCAGTCTTAAGTATGTTATTTCACATGCTTTCTGGGGTAAGAGATGCGAACGCTGGAACTGGATTGCAGGTAAGGGGCAGTGGGCATTCTTGAGACTCCCCCCTACGGAAGAGAAGGGTCCTGGCATTTGGAAAGGTTCTTTTCACTGTTTGTAGGGTATGAGGAGTTTGGCCTGGGATGGCAACCATGTGTAGTGTGCTGTCAATTTGCTACTATCTGATGTTCTCACTCTCATTTTATGTGCTTTCTTTTAGTTTACTTATTTTTACTTTCTTGAGACGAAGTCTCACTGTCTGGGGTGCAGTGGCTCATTGCAACCACCACCTTCCAGGTTCAAGAGATTCTCCCGCCTCAGCCTCCTGAGTAGCTGAGATTACAGTTGCCCCCCACCACACCTGGCTAATTTTAGTATTTAGTCGGGGGAGGGTGCGGGGGGGGGGGGCGGGGGGGAGACGGGAGACGTTCACCATGTTGGCCCAGGTGGTCTTGAACTCCTGACCTCAACTGATACACCGGCCCCATTACAAGTGTGAGCCACTGCACCTGCTTTAGTTTTATTTTATCTTTATTATTTATTTAGAGACAGAGTCTCACTCTGTTGCCCAGACTGGAGTGCAGTGGAGCGATCTCAGCTCACTGCAGCCTCCGCCTTCTGAGTTCAAGTGATTCTCCTGCTTCAGTTTCCCCAGTAGTTGGGATTACAGGCATGCACCACCATTCCCAGCTAATTTTTGTATTTTAGTAGAGACGGGGTTTCACCATGTTTGGCCAGGCTGGTCTCAAATTCCTGACCTCAAGTGATCCACTCCCCTCCGCCTCCCAAAGTGCTGGGATTACAGGAGTGAGCCACCACGCCTGGCCACTTTTAATGTTTTTATTTTATTTATTTTTTTTTTAGAGAAGTCCTAAGTCTCATTTAGTTTATTTTTAATGGACAATAATGTCTATATTTATGGAGTATGAAATGATGTTTTTATACATATATACATTGTGAAATGATCAAATCAGGATAATTAGCATATCCATCACTTCAAATACTTATGATTTTATGTTGAGAACATTTAAAATCTTTTTAGCTTTATTTATTTGTTTATTTGAGATAGGCTCTCACTCTGTTGCCCAGGCTGGAGTGCAGTGGCACAATCTTGGCTCACTGCAACCTCTGCCTCCCAGGTCCAAGCAATTCTCCTGCCTCAGCCTCCTAAAGTAGCTGGGATTACAGGCACGCGCCACCACATCTGGCTAATTTTTGCATTTTTTGGTAGACATGGGGTTTCACCATGTTGGTCAGGCTGGTCTCAAACTCCTGACCTGGTGATCTGCCCACCTTGGCCTCCCAAAGTGCTGGGATTACAGGTGCGAGCCACTGCGCTTGGCCTAGCTATTTTGAAATATACGAGATTACCAACTAAAGTCACCTTGCCATGCAATGGTTCGCCAGAACTTATTCCTCCTACCTTTAACTTTGTACCCATCAACTAGTCTCTTCCCTTTCTCTGCCCAACCCTCCTCCCACCTGAAGCCTCTGGTAACTACCTTTCTACTCTCTACTTCTAGGAGTTGGCTTTTTAAAATTTTGTGTGAGATCATACATTTTTCTGTTTTATGCCTGTTCTTTTCACCTAACATAATGTCATCAAATTTTATCCATATTATTTTATGACAGAATTCCCTGCTTTTTAAAAAGCTTAATATTATTCTATTACATATATACACATTTTAAAAATTCATTCATCTGTTAATGAGTATTTAGGTTGTTCCAAATCTTGGCCACTGTGAATACTGCTACATTGAATATTGAAGTACAGACATCTTTTTGGCACGCTGATTTCCATTTCTTTGGGAATAGACTCAGTAGTGGGATTGCTGGATCATGTGGTAATTCTATTTTGAGTTTTTTTGAAGAACCTCCATACATTTTTCCAAAATGGCTGCATTTATTCACAGTACTACCAACAACATATGAGAATGTCTTTTCTCCACCTTTGACAAGGCTGGTTATCTTTTATCTTTTTGATAATAGCCAATTTTACAGGTATGAGGTAATATCTCATTAATTTGCATTTCTCTGATGTTTACAGATATTGAGCACTTTTTTCATAGATCGTTAGACATTTGTAAGTCTTGAGAAACATCTCTTCAGTAGAAGTTTTGTTGGGCCTGTTAAAAACAAAAAGTAAAAAAAGAGGTGACTCTGGATTCAGATCCTTTGTGTACTTTTAACAGGACTGTTTTCTTTTTATTGAGTAGTTTGAGTTCCTTTATATTTGGGGAATGTCTCATGTATGATTTGTAAATATTGTCTTCCAGCTTGTCTCTTCACTCTTCCTTTTGTGTATCTGTTGTAAGCCTCTGTGGTTATTCTGAGCCTTACCTAAAGCATCTTATAGATACAACAGGCTCTTTTAAGTTGATAGCACTTTACAATTTTGATCCCATAGATAAATTTACACTTTCGCTCACCCTTCTACCACATTTTGTTTTTCACATTTACATTTTACATATTTTTTAAATAATTTGTAGTCTTTAACAAATTGTTGTTGCTTTATTTTATTTTATTTTATTTTATTTTTTTTTGAGGCGGGGTTTTGCTCTTGTTTCCCAGGCTGGAGTGCAATGGCGCGATCTCGGCTCACCGCAACCTCCGCCTCCTGGGTTCAGGCAATTCTCCTGCCTCAGCCTCCTGAGTAGCTGGGATTACAGGCACGCGCCACCATGCCCAGCTAATTTTTTGTATCTTTAGTAGAGACGGGGTTTCACCATGTTCACCTGGATGGTCTCGATCTGTTGACCTCGTGATCCACCCGCCTCGGCCTCCCAAAGTGCTGGGATTACAGGCTTGAGCCACCGTGGCTTTATTTTATTTTTTGAGACAGAGTCTCACTCTGTCGCCCAGGCTGGAGTGCAGTGGCGTGATCTTGGCTCACTACAACCTCTACCTCCCAAGTTCAAGCAATTCCCTGCCTCATCTTCCAGAGTAGCTAGGATTACAAGTGCCCACTATCATACCTGGTCAAGAGACTTTTTATGGTTCTTGCTGTCCCTTTCTTTACAGGGCTGTATGGTCTTTGAGGATGTGTTTGTATACTTCTCTCGGGAAGAATGGGAGCTTCTCGATGATGCTCAGAGACTCCTGTACCATGATGTGATGCTGGAGAACTTTGCACTTTTAGCCTCACTGGGTAAGGTCCTCATGCTTTTCTCCTTTTGCCCAGGTACCACTCTGTTCTTCCCATGGTCATGAGCACTGCTTCCTTTAGTGGTTTCCTGGAGTAGGTGCTGAGGGTGCCAGGGCTAAGCTGTATGGAGTGTCCCCCCTACTTGCTGAGCAGTCCTAAAGCCTTGCAGCCAAAGGTTTGGGGTTATGAGACTTGTGGTTTGCCCAGTGGATCTCACTAGGTCTGGTCACTTTCTGCACTGGTGACTCTGTCCAAAATTATGGTGTCTCTGTGCCCAAGGTTCTGCCCCTTTCTCCAGGTGACATTTTTTTTTTTTTTCTTTTTTTGAGTCAGAGTCTGGCTCTGTTGCCAGAATGCAGTGGCATGATCTCAGCTCATTGCAACCTCTATCTCCCAGGCTCAAGCCATCCTCTTACTTCCTGAATGTTTAGGACTACAGGCATACACCACTATGCCCAGCTAATTTTTCTGTAGACATGGGGTTTTATCATGTTGCTCAGGCTGGTCTTGAATTCCTAAACTGAAGTAATCCACCTCTGAAAGTGTAGGATTACAGGTGTGAGCCACTGCCCCCAGTCAGGTGACATTTTCTAGGGCCTGACCTTGCCAGGAGTTATAGGCACTTACGCAGTCACTTACAGGGGACCTTTGGGCTATTGCTGCACAACTCCTCCCCGGTTATTTTTCTTAACTGTAGCCCATCATAGGGTGGGGTTGCCATGGGCCAGTACTGGTTGCTCACATGTTCTGACTTTCCCTTAGGAATTGCATTTTCCAGATCAGATGCAGTCATGAAACTAGAGCAAGGAGAAGAGCCCTGGGTATATGACCAGGTGGATATGACTTCAGCCACAGGAAGAGAGGCCAAGAGGGGACCTAGACCTGGTGAGTGGACATCAGCGAAGGGCATGATGTCAAAGCTGGGCTCAAAACTGGCAACATCAACTGTTCACATCAGTGTCTGTTTCCAGGGCCAGTGGCCACACAGCATTTCGATCTGTCCTTCCCTGTTCTTGACATGAAGATATAGCATTTCTAGTTTGTTAGACCCTTACCATTCTTCACCTCTGGCCTTCACCTTACACCCATGTTTTCCCACTATTCTGTCTGCATTTTTTTTTTTTTTTTTTTTTTTTTGGCAATATTGACTTGCAATTAGCGTTGACAAGATGTGTATACATTCTTAGTCTTTGAACACCAGCTGCTCACTTGTAGTTGGATTTTCCTGGGACTGGATACATTTTTCATAGCACTCATGAGTCACTAACAGTCAAGGCACTACTGGAAGTCATGTGTTTGGTCCCATTCTGTTTTGGGAGACGGAGTCTCACTCTGTCACCCAGGCTGGGGTGCAGTGAAATGATCTCGGCTCACTGCAACCACTGCCTCCCAGGTTCAAGTGATTCTCCTGCCTCAGCCTCCTGAATAGCTGGGACTACAAGCGCCTGCCATGCCCAGCTAAATTTTGTATTTTTAGTAGAGATGGGGTTTCACCAGATTGTCCAGGCTTGTCTCGAACTCCTGACATTGTGATCCACCCACCTGCCTACCAAAGAGCTGGGATTACAGGCATGAGCCACCATACCTGGCCTGGTTCCATTTTTATATCCTGGCCCTTCATTGGCCCTCCCCCACGGAGAGTATTGACCTCCAGGTTCAATACTTCAAGCTGTTCCTTCCTCACTCTGACCATGCCTCTCATCTTGAAACAGTTTCATGAACTTATTCCTTCATATGTCAAACACATATATGATGGGGTTGCTCCTCCCCACCTGTACACATGCATTTAATCAGCATTTCTGTGTTTCCAGGTTGTTGGCATGGAGTGGAGGATGAGGTGGTATCTTCTGAGCAAAGCATTTTTGCAGGAGTGTCACAGGTCAGGACTCACCCATGTGACATATGTGGCCCAATATTGAAAGATATCTTACACCTGGCTAAATACCATGGAGGAAAAGCCAAGCAGAAACCATACTGGTGTGGGGCATGTGGGAGGCAGTTCTGGTTCAATACGAACTTTGACCAGCACCTGAACCAGCCCAATGGAGGGAAACCCTTCCAAAGGAAGGAGAGCAGAGACTCTGTGAAAAGCTGCAGAGTCCGTATGCCAGAGAAGACCCTCACATGTGGGAAAGGAGGGAGAGACTTTTCAGCCACATCTGGCCTTCAGCATCAGGCCTCTCACAGCAGGATGAAGCCCCACAAGAACACTAAGCTTGTAAGTGGCTTTTGCATGGGACAGAGGTATCACAAGTGTGGTGAATGTGGGAAAGCCTTCACCCGCAAAGACACACTTGCTCGGCATCAGAGAATCCACACTGGAGAAAGGCCTTATGAGTGTAGCGAATGTGGGAAATTCTTCAGCCAAAGCTACGACCTCTTTAAACACCAGACAGTTCACACTGGAGAAAGGCCATATGAGTGCAGCGAATGTGGGAAGTTCTTTAGACAAATCTCTGGCCTGGTTGAGCACAGGCGAGTTCACACAGGTGAAAGACTCTATCAGTGTGGCAAATGTGGGAAATTCTTTAGCAGTAAGTCTAATCTCATTCGACACCAGGAAGTTCACACAGGAGCCAGGCCTTATGTATGCATCGAATGTGGGAAAGAGTTCAGTCGGAAACACACACTTGTACTGCACCAGCGAACTCACACTGGAGAAAGGCCTTATGAGTGCAGTGAATGTGGGAAGGCCTTTAGCCAAAGCTCCCACCTTAATGTACACTGGAGAATTCACAGTAGTGATTATGAGTGCAGCAGATGTGGTAAGGCTTTCAGCTGCATCTCTAAACTCATTCAGCACCAGAAGGTTCACTCTGGAGAAAAGCCTTATGAGTGCAGCAAGTGTGGGAAAGCCTTTACTCAAAGACCCAACCTCATCAGGCACTGGAAGGTCCACACTGGGGAAAGGCCTTACGTGTGTAGTCAGTGTGGGAGAGAGTTCATCCGGAAACAGACACTTGTTCTGCACCAGAGGATTCATGCTGGAGAAAAGCTTTAATAGTGTAACAAATGTGGGAGACCCTTAGGCCAATGCCCCCAACTTACTGTATGGTGGGGAACTAGCAGCAGTTAATGAGAGCAGCAGATGCAGGAAAGCCTTTGCCTGGAGGCTGAGCCTTGCCCACCATTGGGAATAAAACACTGGACACAGGCCTTAGCAGGCCAAGCAATACTCAGGTTAGTATGCTCTGTGGCAGTCCAGAGCATAATCACATGAGTATGCTCTATGGAGTTTTGCAAGTATTTTCAATGACATTTGTGAATTTTTTTCAGTTGCTGATGAAAATGGGATATTTGATATGATTTATGAGTCTATTTCAAATAATTATGGCTAAGGAGTTATTGGGCAGAAGGAAATATGGTAGAGGCTGGTGAGGAAAATTTTTTGTGAATAGGTTGGCTTCTAGTCCTTGGGTTGGAGGGGATAACTAAATGTCTTGCAAAAGACCCAAACACCTCCCATTAGGCCCACCTCCTCCAACATTGGTGGGGGGGTCACATTTCAACATGAGATTTGGAAGGGACACATATCTAAACTTTATCAGCTGTAGATTCTAGCCTGTAATTAAGTACTCTCCTATACCTTTTCTGAACTCCATCCTGCTGACCCAGCTAACTGCTATCACGGTAAAAAGGGTGACAGCATGATATGAGGCATAACGTTATGGACCTCCTTATTGAGCTCTCTTGAATGCGACTTAGTACTGGAGGGGGAGGGAAAATTAAGAATCATTCAGAAGAAAGGTAACTAAAAATAGATGGAAGAAACCTTCAGGAAAACTGAATTGGATAAAATTGTTTAGATGGTTGATTAAAAATGACCTTAAACAGGAAAGGAAGATGGAGTAGTTAAGTTACTAAAAGTATTGAGTTACTGTAAAAATGGTTAGCCAATTATTCAAAGATCTGGAATTAATTAATTCACCCTAGTCTTGGTAATTTTTCAAAATGTCAAAATTATAAAAAGGTGACAAGTATGATCTCTTCAGAGCATGCTCTGAAAGAGCACCAGGAAGGCAGATGGGGAGTATTACGACTGAATGATGATGTCAATCAAAGAAAATGGCCGGGCGCGGTGGCTCAAGCCTGTAATCCCAGCACTTTGGGAGGCCGAGGCGGGTGGATCACAAGGTCAACAGATCGAGACCATCCTGGTCAACATGGTGAAACCCCATCTCTACTAAAAATACAAAAAATTAGCTGGGCATGGTGGCGCGTGCCTGTAATCCCAGCTACTCGGGAGGCTGAGGCAGAGAATTGCCTGAACCCAGGAGGCGGAGGTTGCGGTGAGCCGAGAACGTGCCATTGCACTCCAGCCTGGGTAACAAGAGCGAAACTCCGTCTGAAAAAAAAAAAAAAAAAAAAGAAAATGACAAGTCTCAATCATTTTCCACATAAAAAGCAAAAAAGAAAGGTGTCGGGGGTCTGCATTTTACATAAGATAACACAGAAAATGGGGCGGGGGAACAATCCAGTAGGCATTCTGTGTTTGGCAGGCCGGGGTGAGTGCACCTATAAAGATAAGCTATCAATTTGTATTGCCATGGTAAAGTTTTTTTGTTTTTTGTTTTTTTTGCTCTTGTTGCCCATGCTGAAGTGCAGTGGCATGCCATCTGGGCTCAGTGCAACCTGCACCTTCGAGGTTCAAGGGATTCTCCTGCCTCAGCCTCCTGAGTAGCTGGGATTGCAGGCATGCGCTACCACGCCTGGCTAATTTTCTATTTTTAGTAGAGACAGGGTTTCTCCATGTTGGGCAGGCTGATCTCAAACTCCCAACCTCAGGTGATTCACCCGTTTCAGCCTCCGAAAGTGCTGGGATTACAGGCATGAGCGACTGCACCCGGCCTGTCATGGTAAAGCTTTAACAGCTCACCAGTCATTTTCTTGTGGGCAACATATGGGGAAGGCAGGTAGCTTTTCATCTTGTTGCCATTTTATTTAGGAACCGAAAGGTAGAGGCAGGTTTGCGTGAGCCAGTTCCCAGCTTGGCTTTTTCCCCTATGCTAAATGGGTTTGGGATCCCACAATTTAATTTCCTTTCACAGTAAGCTGGTTGGAGTCTCATGACCTCCAGCTGGGACCTCAAGTTCACTTTCATCAGCATGAAGTATATGGTCTTCAGGCAGAGAAAACTTTACTACAACTGATAATCAATGTTGCTATAACTTATTTAGCTAATATAAACAAAGGGAAGTGTAATTGCAAGAATATAGTGATACAGCTAGAAGGTTTGCAGCTGGAGAAATGTGGTCAATAAAGGAATTTATGAACAGGAATTTGCCTCACCCTTAACATAATGCAACATTTGAATTGATAGGATGCCATATATATCTGCTTTTAGTCCTGAGTCCGGTTTTAATTGAACATGCTAGATGGGGACCTTTAGAATTAGCTAAGGTCCCTCACGTGGTTAATTTATAACACAGAATTCCTGGGGAAAATAAATGTTGACTTGAATTAAGTATATTTTAGATGCAGGTATATTACTAAAATTCCCTATTTAGTAGTCTAGGATGGGCTGGGTGTGGTGGCTCATGCCTGTAATCCCAGCACTTTGGGAGGCCAGGGCAGGAGGATCACTTGAGGCCAGCAGTTTGAGACCAGCTTGGGCAACATAGTGAGACCTACTCTTTACAAAAAAATTTGAAAACATATTAGCTAAGTGTAATGGAACATGCCTGTAGTCTTAGATATTCAGGAGGCTGAGGGGAGGATCACTCAAGCCCAGGAGATTGAGGATGCAGTGAGCTGTGCTTGCACCACTCCAACCTAGGTCTAGGATGGCCTGGAAGAAAAGCTGATGGATCTCGTAAGTTAGCTATAGTTTATGGAAGACTTGATAAATTAGTTGTCCCCCCTATTTAATCAGCTGTATCTGATATGGTATCAACAACTAAACTTGTGCTAGAAGCTCGGCGATCAGTATTCTGTACTAGATTTGGCTCATACCTTCTTTTCCATAAGGAAACCAAAGCCAGTTTTCATTCATTAGGAATAGGCCCCAATATGCATATACTCTACCCTCACAAGAACATTTAAATTCTCTGACAGGGCTGGGCACAGTGGCTCATACGTGTAATCTCAGCACTTTCGGAGGCCAAGGCCTGTGGATCACTTGAGGTCAGGAGTTCCAGCCCAGCCTGGCCGTCATGGTGAAACCATCTCTACTGAAAGAAAAAAAACAAAAATTGGCCAGGCATGGTGGTGCGCACCTGTAATCCCAGCTACTCAAGGTGGAGGCAGAAAAAATCGCTTGAACCCAGGAGGCGGAGGTTGTGGTGAGCTGAGATCGCACCACTGCACTGCAGCCTGGGTGACGGAGTCAAAAAAATAAAAATTAGTAAATTATCTAGCTGACGCTTAGCCCTGGATTTAACCCCTTTTGTAGGACAATATATGGTATATGAGCTGCTGCTACAGAGGCTGACATGGGAGGGTCACTTGAACCCTGGAACTTGAGGCTGCAGTGAACAAGATCGTGCCACTACACTCCAGCCTGGGTGACAGTGAGAACCTATGTCTAAAAAACATACATTTGGTACATGGGCAAGAATCCCAATTTGGAGGAAAGGTAGAGAATATACTGTAATTTTTACTTATTTTGTAATGATTATGATCAGACTCATAATGTATCTGCTATTTGGTGTAATACTGGTGCATTTCGTATTACAAATACATTTGATGGGTTCTGATATGGTTTGGATGTATGTTACCTGCAGATGTCAAGTTGAAATGTGACCTTCAACGTTGGAGGTGGGCCTAGTCAGGCGTCTTCGGGTCATGGGGGTGGATCCCTCATGAATGGGGTGGTGCTTTACTCGTGGTAGTGAGTTCTCACTGAGTTCATGCAAGATTTGGTTGTTTAGAAAAGGCTGGCACCTCCTCTGTACGTCTCTTGCTCCCTCCCTCACCATGTGACACACTGGCTCTCCTTCACTTTCCGCCGTAATTGTAAGCTTCCTGAGGCCCTCGCCAAAAGCAGATACCAGCACTTTCCTTCATGTACTATCTACAAAACTGTGAGCCCAATACATCTTCCTCTTTTTTTTTTTTTCAATTACCCAATCTCAGGTATTCCTTTATGGCATCACAAATTGACTAACGCATTTCAAATGAAACTTATGACAGTACTCATAGATTATAAAATGAAGTGAGAAATTGAATTAGAACAACCACAAGATGTTCTATCCATGGAAAATATTGGCTAGGAGAGGAACTAGAATTAACGTTGAATTGAATAAGTCTATTGATACCATTCTTAAAGTTGATGACAGAAGGAGGTAAAATAGTTGCCAATCTTGTGCATGATTATGAACATCTTTGTGCTGGGCTATTTTGTTTTTGGCAATATTTTGAAGCAATATCCACATCTCATAATACACAAAGTATTCTGACAGCTGCCCTTTTTGCTTATTCTGCCCTATAAATAATTAAACTGATACAGGGGAATGTTAAGAAAAAGTCAGTTAGGGCCGGGCGCAGTGGCTCACGCCTGTAATCCCAGCACTCTGGGAGGCCGAGGCAGGTGGATCATGAGGTCAAGAGATCGAGACCTCCTGGTCAACATGGTGAAACCCCACCTCTACTAAAAATACAAAGAATTAGCTGGGCATGGTGGCACGTGCCTGTAATCCCAGCTACTTGGGAGGCTGAGGCAGGAGAATTGCCTGAACCCAGGAGGCGGAGGTTGCGGTGAGCCGAGATCGCGCCATTGCACTCCAGCCTGGGTAACAAGAGCGAAACTCCGTCTCAAAAATAAATAAATAAAATAAAATAAATAAATAAAAGCCTTATGAGAGAGTGCTTTCAGAGTCCCATGAGTCATTTCAAATATCTGAAAAGTCTTTGCAGTTGTAAATATAGATATAGAAATGAATTTGTAAAGAAATGTGCACATGTGTATATATCTGCTTTCTCCCCAAGAGGACCTATTAATCAATGATTTACCAGTAGAAAAGAGCACAGCTTATGCTTACTAATATTTACAAGCATTGTTATCTATTGAAGAAAACCAGAGCTCCTTGGAAAACAGGCTGATTCCAGGGCTGGGACAGGAAAGGCACAACATGAGCCTGAAAATATTTTTGCATCAGAAAGTAATGAAATTGTCAATAATATTGACATGAAAAAGCAGAGAGCCTACAGCTTTAGTGAGTTCCCACTGTCCAAAATCCGGGAGAATTTGAACATTAAAATCAGTGCTGGTAATAATTGAGTATAACTCATTGAATAGATTAGCCCAATTTCTTTCTCAGGCAATGATACAGTAATGGACTATCCAAATTTTTTTCTTTTACAATTTTCTACAATTAGAAAATCAATGTCAGGTGCAGTAGCTCATCCTGTGATCCCAGAATCACTTGATGCTGGAGATTGTGACTAGCCTGGGCCACATGGTGAGATCCGATCTCTGCGATAAATAAATAAGCTGGGTGTGGTGGTGTACAGCTGTAGTCCTAACTACTCAGAAAGCTGAGACTGGAGGAGCCTTGAGTAGCTCAAGGCTGCAGTGAGCTGTGGACATGCCACTGCAGTCCAGCCTGCGTGACAGAGTGATACCCTATCTCTAGAAAAAATAAAAATAAAAATGAATCAAGCAAAATACATCATACAGTTTTCAGTAGGCCCTGAAGACTACCTAGAAGTTTAGTGCTTCACTAGGGCACACCTCCTGACTCCAGACCCTATGACCCCCTCCCAGCTTGCAAAAAATCGCCCTAAACAATAACTTCTGTAACTTTCTACTGTTTACCCCAAACCTACAAAACTGCCTCCTATTCCACCACCCTGCACTCTTTGGACTCAGCCACTTTCACCCGGGTGAATAAACAGCCTTGTGGCTCACACAAAGCTTGTTTGGGGGGGTCTTTTCATTCAGAGCGTGCATTTTAACAACATTCACCAGGTAATATGTTCCTGTGCAAACCCTTTCCATTTTATTAGGGTACTCTTCTGGGCACCATCTTCCTTATTAGAATGTTTCTCTAACATCACCAAAGACATTCAGGTTTCAGGATTTCATGTTCTTCAGTGATATGGGCAGTCTCAATTAAGCCCCAATAGCCAACTAGTAACTGCATCTCAAATGGAAGATTTCTGCTCCAAAAACCTAGCAGTCACCTCTGGGTACTGCCTATGTGTTTTTGCTATAAGCCTGAGTCTGCGTTTCACACAGGGTTGTTGGAGAGGAAATTTGTTGGTATCGGCCCTCTAGTTTCTCACATGTCCTTAATTAAAGTGGTAAATCATCTTTTGTACACCAGGTATCTATACTGTTTTTTGTTTTTTTTTTTTGAGACGGAGTTTCTCTCTTTGTTACCCAGGCTGGAGTGCAATGGCGCGATCTCGGCTCACTGCAACCTCCGCCTCCCGGGTTCAGGCAATTCTCCTGCCTCAGCCTCCTGAGTAGGGATTACAGGCACGCACCACCATGCCCAGCTAACATTTTTTTTGTATTTTTAATAGAGACGGGGTTTCACCATGTTGACCAGGATGGTCTTGATCTTTTGACCTCGTGATCCACCGCGCCCGGCCTATACTGTTTCATATTAACTTGTTAGGCTCTGGAAATCTTATTGGTTCTTACTTAGCATGTCTAATAAATATTGGCTGAAGGGCAAACTCACATGCCTTCTGTTACACAATACCAGGTAAAAAAAGGTAGCAGTCACTTTTCTTATATGGATATTCAGGAATTTTAAAAAGAAAATTACGTGACCCCTAACCTAAAGATTTAAACATAAGACCATTGGTAGAAACCACTGTAAAAATAAAAAATAAAAATAATAATTAAAAACAAACCACTTAAGACCTAACTCCATAAAAACCCTAGAAGAAAACCGAGGCAATACCATTCAGGACATAGGCATAGGCAAGGACTTCATGACTAAAACACCAAAAGCAACGGCAACAAAAGACAAAATAGGCAAATGGGATCTAATTAAACTTAACAGCTTCTGCACAGCAAAAGAAACTACCATTAGAGTGAACCAGCAACCAAGAGAAGAGGAAAAAATTTTTGCAATCTACCCATCTGACAAAGGGCTAATATCCAGAATCTACAAAGAACTTAAACAAATTTACAAGAAAAAACAACCCCATCAAAAACTGGGCAAAGGATATGCACAGTCATTTTTCAAAAGAAGGCATTTATGCAGTAAACAAACACATGAAAAAAAAGCTCATCATCACTGCTCGTTAGAGAAATGCAAATCAAAACCACATTGAGATAACATCTCACACCAGATAGAATGGCGATCATTAAAAAAAATCAGGAGACAACAGATGCTGGAGAGGATGTGGAGAAATAGGAATAATTTTACACTGTTGGTGGGAGTGTAAATTAGTTCAACCATTGTGGAAGACAGTGTGGTGATTCCTCAAGGATGCAGAAATAGAAATACCATTTGACCCAGCAATCCCATTACTGGGTATATACCCGAAGGATTATAAATCATTCTATCATAAAGACACACGAACACATGTTTACTGTGGCACTGTTTACAATAGAAAAGACTTGGAAAGAACCCAAATGCCCATCAAAGATAGACTGGATAAAAAGAAAATGTGGCACATATACACCATGGAATACTACGCAGCCATCAAAAAGGATGAGTTCATGTCCTTTAAAGGCATATAGGTGAAGCTGGAAACCATCATTCTCAGCAAACTCACACAGAATAGAAAGCGAAACATCACACGTTCTCACTCATAAGTGGGTGTTGAACGATGAGAACACATGGAGACAGGGAGGGGACTATCTCACACAGGGGCCTGTCGGAGGGTGGGGGATTGGGGAGACACCATTGGGAGAAATACCAATGCAGATGACCGGGGAGAGGGATGCAGCAAACCAACATGGCACATGTATACCTATGTAACAAACCTGCACATTCTGCACATGTACCCTAGAACTTCAAGTATAATAATAATAATAAAATTAAAAATTTGGGCCAGGCACAGTGGTTCACATCTGTAATCCCAATACTCTGGTAGGCTGAGGCGTTCAAGACCAGCCTGGCGAACATAGCAAAACCCTGTCTATACTAAAAATACAAAAATGAGTTGGGTGTGGTGATGCACACCTGTAGTCCCAGCTACTTGGGAGGCTGAGGTTGCTGTGAGCGAGACTGCGCCACTGCACTCCAGCCTGGGCAACAGAGCAAGACTCTGTCTCAAATAAATAAAATAATAAAAAAATGTCAACAAAATTGAGCGCCGGGCATGGTGGCTGACACCTGTAATCCCAGCACTTTGGGAGGCCGAGGCGGGTGGATCACCAGGTCAACAGATCGAGACCATCTTGGTCAACATGGTGAAACCCCGTCTCTACTAAAATTACAAAAAATTAGCTGGGCACGGTAGTGCGTGCCTGTAATCTCAGCTGCTCGGGAGGCTGAGGCAGGAGAATTGCCTGAACCCAGGAGGCGGAGGTTGCGGTGAGCCGAGATCGCGCCATTGCCCTCCAGCCTGGGTAACAAGAGCGAAACTCCGTCTCAAAAAAAAAAAAAAAAAAATATATATATATATATATATATATAAACTCATCTAAAAAAAGTAGGAAAGGGCCGGGTGCGGTGGCTCACGCCTGTAATCCCAGCACTTTAGGAGGCCAAGGTGGGTGGATCACGAGGTCAAGAGATCGAGACCATCCTGGTCAGCATGGTGAAACCCCGTCTCTACTAAAAATAAAAAAAAATTAGCTGGGCACGGTGGCGCGCTTGTAATCCCAGCTACTCGGGAGGCTGAGGCAGGAGAATTGCACATTGCACTCCAGCCTGGGTGACAAGAGCGAAACTCCGTCTCAGAAAAAAAAAAAGTAGGAAAAACATATGAACAGATATTTTACCAACAAAGAAGACACACAGGTGGCAAATAAAAACATTTTAAAACGCTCAATATCATAAAGTTTTAGGGAAGTGTAACGAAAACTACAGTGAGATACCACTACTGCTATATTAAAAGAGCTAAAATTAAAAAAGAGTGGCCACATGAAGCACTGGCAGGGATGAAGAGGAACTGGAATTCTCACAAACCCTTGGTGGGAATAAAATAGGAAACATCCATTTAGATCAAAGTTTGGCATTTCTTAAAACGTTAAACATTCACCTACACTGTAATTCAGACATTACAGTTTCCGTTATTAACACAAGAACAATACAACATACCCATATAAAGAACTGAATCCAAGTAGTTATAGCAGCTTTATTTGTAATATACTAAAATCTATAAATAACATAAATGTCCCTAAAGACGTGGATAAACAGTGACTTATCCATAGAAAACCCTAATACTCAGCAGCACAAACATTCATCATTGTTGAATCTCAAAATAATTATACAGCAAGAAAACCAGAAAGAATATATAAATATATCTCATTGAAAAATTCCAGAAAATGCAAACTAATTTACTGTAAAGGAAATCAGTTGGTCCCGGAAGAGCTGGGGAAGGCAGAGGGAGATTATAAAAGGATACAAGGAAAATATATGGGTGACAGATAAATTCATTTTCATGGTTGTGATGATGGTTTCATGGCTTTACCAAACTGTACATTTTGGATACCTGTACCTTGTTGCATGTCAGTTGTATAAACTAGACCTTCATAAAGCTTTCAGAAGTGGCTCAAAATTAAGAGTCTAGATGTTGCATGTTTTTATCTTTTTTTGAAAACCAGGTTGGGCCGGGTGCAATGGGGGTGCAGTGGCTCACGCCTATAATCCCAGCACTTTGGGAGGCCGAGGCGGGTGGATCACGAGGTCAAGAGATCGAGACCATCCTGGTCAACAATGTGAAACCCCGTCTCTGCTAAAAATCCAAAAATTAGCTGGGCATGGTGGCGCGCGCCTGTAATCCCAGCTACTCAGGAGGCTGAGGCAGAATTGCTTGAACCCAGGAGGCGGAGGTTGCGGTGAGCCGAGATCGTGCCATTGCACTCCAGCCTGGGTAACAACAGCAAAACTCCGTCTCAAAAAAAAAAAAGAAAGAAAGAAAACCAGGTTGGCAACTTGATATAGACTCCACTATCTCTCTCTCTCTCTCCTCATGCCCTGAGAAAGGCAACCTTGCCCCAGAAGCAGCAAATTTTGGAAAGCAATGAATTCTGTTGCCACCTGAATTAATAGGAACGTTGGTTGAGTCACAAAAACCATATCCCTGGACTGCAGAATGATCCTTCTCTCTATTCTTATTCTCCTACCTGCATAGCAATGGCCTTGAGGTAAACAGTTGAGAGAGGATGCGAGGAGCCACAAAATTTTTATAGACTATTTTCTGACAATGACTTCAGCGATAGGAAATGGTTATAAAGATCATCAGAATTTCTGTACGCCCTTGTCCCACACAGCTATATTCACTGAAAAATTTGTAGATGAACTTTTAGAAGAGGCATTCCATCTAACTTACTGCAGCGCTCCCCACTCCGCATTTACCCAGAGTTTCAGTCCCAATTACAGTTGTGACTCGAATTTAACCTCTGTATCTATAGTCTGAAATCAAATGGAACCAGGCTACACTGACTTACATGTCATGGCACATGGCTCCCTTGCAGGACCCAGGAAACAGATTCCCCTCAATGGTGCTAGGAATTATATGGTATTTCTTGTGAACAAGTGAACAAACTTCACGGGCACAGAAGCACTGGGGATTGTCACAACTGCCTCCTTTTCATGGTGACCTCTGGCCTGACAAAAATGGCATCAGACCACAACACAGGAACACAAAGCCTGGCAGGCTTTGAAGCCTTGGACAGCAGGCCAAGTAGACCAATACAGGACAAAGACCTGTCTTCTGCCATCACACTGTCCTTTCTGAGCACAGAAAGTGGGCAAAATCTGTCCACCCCTTCATGCTGACATCACGATTCTGCCATCACATTGTCCCTTCTGAGCACAGAAATTGGACAGAACGTGTCCACCCCTTCATACTGACATCACTATTCTGCTTATAAACATTCTATACAGTGAACAGAACCCCCAAGATTAAAGATGCATACATTTTTTTAAACTTTTTTTTTCTCTGAGATAAGAGTTTTACTCTTGTCGCCCAGGCTGGAGGGCAATGACATGATCTCGGCTCACTGCAACCTCTGCCTCCTGGATTCAAGTGGGAGGCTGCCTCAGCCTCCCGAGTAACTGAAATTACAGGTACCTTCCACCATGCTGGGCTAATTCTCTATCTTTAGTAGAGACAGGTTTCACCACCTTGGCCAGGCTGGTCTTGAACTCCTTGCCTCAGGTGATCCGCCTACCTCGGCCTCCCAAAGTGCTGGGATTACAGGCCTAAGCCACTGCACCTGGCCTTTTTACAACCTTTATAAAAAGATTATAAATCAGAGCAGTGTGCACCAAGCAGTTTCCAAACTGGTGAATCAGAAGCTAGAAATACTCATTACAAGCATCATGTGAGAACAGTGTCCCTAAAAAAAGTAACCCTTCTATGAATGCTGACAGCGCAACTCACATTGACTCCTCTGGACCAAAAGTGGGGCAGGTCTATACTCTGAAGTCAGAGAAAAGAAATGAGGATCCCCTACTTGCCTGACCTATTAATAATTTCCCCAAGCAAATGGGAGAATACAGAGGTTTGCTTCTTTGTGCACTGTGGGGAAGTGACTCATGCGCACGGTGTGCACCTGCCAGGTGGCAGAAGTGAAATGGCTTCAGCCTCAGAAATGGGCAGTGACATAAATCAGGCTATGACCATGGGAAGATTATAAATAACAATGAACCTCCTCAGAGCTTCCCACATACCTGAAGCTTACATAGAATCCCCCATTGTAGATGCTCAAAATTTAAATTTAGGAGGATGGCTCCCAGTCTCTCCAGTGCTATTATACTGAATAAAAAAATAGCACCTTCCTTTCACATTTAAGGTCTTTCTTCAGTGTGAACTTTCCGATGTCGAATGAGGTTAGATTTGCGGCTAAAGGATTTCCCACATTCACTGCATTCATAAGGCCTTTCTCCAGTGTGAACTCTTTGGTGCTGAATAAGGTCAGATTTGTGAGTAAAGGGTTTCCCACATTCACTGCACTCATAAGGTCTTTCTCCAGTGTGACCTCTCTGGTGCTGAATGAGGCTGGAGCTCTGGCTAAAGGATTTCCCACATTCACTACACTCATAAGGTCTTTCTCCAGTGTGAACCCTCTGGTGCTGAATGAGGCTAGCACTTTGGCTAAAGGACTTTCCACATTCACTACACTCGTAAGGCCTTTCTCCAGTATGAAGTCTTCGGTGCTGAATGAGGCCAGAACGCTGTCTGAAAGATTTCCCACATTCACTGCACTCATAAGGTCTTGTGCCAGTATGAATTCTCCTGTGTTGAATGAGGTCAGATTTGCGGGTAAAGGATTTTCCACATTCACTGCATTCATAAGGCCTTTCTCCAGTGTGAACTCTTTGGTGTTGAATCAGAATAAATTTGCGGCTAAATGACTTCTCACATTCACTGCACTCATAAGGCCTATCACCAGTGTGAATGCTGCGGTGTCGAATGAGGTTAGAGAACTGCCTAAAGGATTTCCCACATTCGCTGCACTTGTAAGGTCTTTCTCCACTGTGAATTCTCTGGTGTTGAATGAGTTCTGATTTGCAGCTAAAAGCTTTCCCACAATCACTGCACTGATAAGGCATTTCTCCAGTGTGAACTCTTCTGTGTCGAATGAGATTGAAGATTTGTCTAAAGGATTTCCCACATTCACAGCACTGATAAGGCCTTTCTCCAGAGTGAACTCTCTGGTGTCGGAAAAGGTTAGAGCTTTGTCTAAAGGATTTCCCGCACTCACCACATTTATAAGGCCTTTCTCCTGTGTGAACTCTCTGGTGTTCAATCAGGTTAGATTTGCAGCTAAAGGATTTCCTACATTCACCACACTCATAACGCACTTCTCTGGTGTGACGTCTCTGGTGGTGAATGAATTCAGATGTATGGATAAAGGCTTTCCCATGATCACTGCATTCATAAGGCCCTTCTCCAGTGTGAACTATCTTAGGTAAGCCTAGGTGGCACTTTTTGCTAAAGGATTCCCCACATTCACTACACTCGAATGTCTTTGGTCCAGAGTGAATTTGCTGGTGCTGAACAAGTGTGTTCTTGCAGGTGAAAGCTTTCTCACATTTACTACACTCATAAAGCCCTTCTTCAGAGCAGACACTCTGAGGCTGAACAAGTGTGTGTGTGTGGCTTGAAGCTTTTTGACATTCACCCCACTGGTAACAACATTTTGCCCCATGAAATGCCCGTATATGCTTGCTGCTGCTACTGTGTGGCTCCTCACCACTAGGAGTGGCTTGGTGTTGGAGTAGGCCCGTGGAGGGTGGGACGTCCTCCCCACAGGTAAAATAATTCAACATATGGAATCTGCAGCCTGTCACAAATGTAGCCCCATCCACATTCCTTTTCCAGGGTTCTTCTTCATTGTTATGCTTTTGGTGCTGGTGAAGGTCAGCATTAAAACAGAAGCCTCTCACACTTGTGCCACCCAAGTAAGACTTTTGCACAGGGGATGTGGTTTGGTGCTCAGCCTCAGACAAAATGTCCTTCAAGACTGGGGCACACATCTTAACCGCACTGAGGTGAGTTTTCTGGGTGGGTGTGTCCCCCTTAGAAGTTCTGACCTGTAACTTTCCTCCTACAGATGCAGTGTGCTCAGAAGCTATGGCCTCATTCTGTGTCCCATGGCAATAACCTGAAAGCAGAGAAACACTGATGAAACGCATGGCGACTTTGATGAAAGGGGAAAGATGTATCACAGAAAGTGTGAGACACAAGAACTGAGTGCATGGAACCGTTCTGAGAACAAGGGAACTGGGGAGGAATAGTCTGCTTTGAAGTACTGGGCTTTGGAGACTATAGAGATGTCATTTCATCACAAGAAGGACAGGAGAGTGAGGTACAGCACAGGAGGAGGAGGAAGACGGTCTCCAACTCACTCTCTGCCAAAGCCCTCAGGATGACTTTGCTATTCATGTTTGTGCTACGAAGTAGGCTGCTGTCGTCCAGTCCTAGGTAAATCCAATGAAACCGGGTAGTTGGTGATCAAAGAGGCCTATCTGAGGCTGTGTGTATACCTCATAACACAGTGAGTGTAGACTGAAGATCACTGAAAAGAAGTGAGCTGTAGAGAGGAACAAGTGACACACTGAGACCACGAGGGCGGAGGTAGCCAAACGCTGGAAGTGATGATGAAACGACAATTCAGCACAGTATTAACTACAGGGAAGTAGAAGTAGAAACGAGGTATGGCCAGTGGCACTTGCACCAAAATGCTGCCGGGCACACTGCAGGTTCCTGATGTGATTCTAATACAACCATGAGGTCATGCCCTTCCAAGGCTGCCACTCACTAAGGCCAGGCCTCCTCTGAGGCCACCTTGCCTTTTCACTGTGTGAAGCGACGAGGGCACTCCCTGCAGCCCTCACCGTGTTTCCACATAACACATGAGTAATTTAAGTCTCCAGGAAAGAGGACAGGGGAGTAACCAGCACTCACAAAACAAACAAAAAACACTCAAAGGAGGGTCTTGTAAAAAGAGCTCCCTAGTTCATGTAAGGAGTAACCATGACAATGCCTGCAATGGCTGATATCGGTGCACATAAGGAAGTGGCAGCTAGAGGAAGAGGTCAGAAGGTACCGTGGATCTGTACACAGTCATCCTCACAGGGAGACGACAAGAAAGGTAAGATCCAGGAGGCTGACAGCAAGACTCCTGAGACAGAGAGAACCCTGGGGTCAAAACTAAGGCAGAGACCATTCAGAACACTGGGAGGGATGCTAGGACCTTACCCAGGGAGGTCACATGTGCAAAGTTCTCCAGCATCACATCGCAGTACAGGAACCTCTGAGCTTCATCAAGGAGCTCCCACTCTTCTTGGGAGAAATAAATGGCCACATCCTCAAAGGTCGTACGCTGTCATTGCAGGAATAGTTCAATCCACGATCAGACTTGGAGTTCATTATCCTCTCACCCCCAATATCCATCCCCGGGTCACCCTATTGTCCACCTCAGAGGAGATAACCAGCCACGGTGCCATCGATGCCTACTCTCTCCCCACAGTTCCACTGACACCAAGTCCCTGAATAACAACAATAGGCACGTGAACAGATAGATGCTATCTAAGCTCTGGGTCTGGCAGGTAGGGTATACCTCTCGTTACAAACACCGGTTAGGGAGAAGTGGCCATAGAGAGGGTGTGAGTGATCTGACATTTGTCTTGTCAGGCAGTATCCCTGAAGTCGCCAAGATTCATCCTCCAAGACACAAGTAACATGGGCTCACCCTTTACCCCTATGACTCCAGTTCACCCGCAAGGTCCTCAGTTTATTCTCTCTTCTCATGCACATCACTCTTTGAACCACACCTGTCTCACACAGCTGCATTCCCACAGCCACAACCTCAAAGGTCACACAACTTTTCCATGATGAGGACAGTTCATTCTATGATCAGTATCTCTCCTACGATACTGATCTATCCCTGTTGATCTTCCTCTCCATCTACTCATTTGAAAGAACAAAAAAATAACGTAAAAGAAAGAATAAAACAGGAGCCAGTGACATGGATGCCCCTCTCTCCTCATGGTCCAATTGGTCATTGTGTTCTCCCAGAGCGAAAACAGGCAGCTGGTCAAGTATCTAAGCTCTGAGCCTGCCATGCAAGGAACCACACACTCTCTTGTGAGGAAACTCTCCTGGAAGACCGAAGACCATGGCTCCCAAACACAACCAAAAGTCTAGGGTCATACTTCACCCTTCTGTCCTCAACGCCAAGGGGCCACCACTTCACCTTCTTGTCTCCACATACACGTCACTCTACCACACCTCTCTCACAGTGCCACTCCCTCCGCCACAGCTTACTCCCTGCCTCACGCCGTGAGCATCTCCTTGGTCTCCCCACTGGTTACTCAGCACATGGGGCCCAGAGTGGCCGGCAAATTCTAACACCATTCAGTACTACCCCAGATCTCTAACTGCGCCTAAAGTTAGGAGCAGTCTCAAGTCGTACAACGAAGGCCTCTACCTGACTGTTCCTTGCTTCAGCCTCACCCACCAAGAATCACCTGTGGGTCTCAGATAACCAAGGCCTTTTCCACTTCTGGGCTGTGAGTGCTGTCTCCCCACCAATCAAACCCTTCCTCTCTCCAACTACCACTATTTCAAGGTCCACCCTCGGCAGCTCTCTACCCCTGGCCCAGTGAGTACCACAGATACGCCCCTAGGCTAACATGACAGCCTGACTGAAACCCCCCAGATCCCACCAAGAGTTAATATAAAATCCTGGGGGTCTGCAGAGAGGTGAATAAGCACCGGCCCTGGCATCATCCTGTCTGTGTAACTCCGATGCCTCTACATCCATCTCACGTCTACTCACCCGAGAAGCCTCGGCCACATGCCAGATCATAATCTCTCTCTGACCCTCCCCTTGGACACTTCTCTCCAAGACCTGTGTTGCAACACCTCACACAACCAGGGGCTCATGCAGGGGACCAGTCCTTGACCTTCACCTCCCGTTCCTGGGCAGTTATCACTGTTACCCTTGTGAGTAGGCTTCCTCTCTACTAAACGTGATCCAGAGCTCCACCCTGGCCCACGGACGGTCCACTACCTTTTGGAAAAGTCTCCATTCTGAATCCCTCCTCACTGTTCCTGACCTATGATTTCAGCAGCCCATGAAGCATTCTCTTCAAACAGTTAACAGGTCAAAAATAAAATTTCTGATATCCCAAATGAAAACTACTCCTACTGGGCCGGGCGTGGTGGCTCACGCCTGTAATCCCAGTACTTTGGGAGGCCGAGGCGGCTGGATCACGAGGTCAAGAGATCGAGATCATCCTGGCCAACATGGTGAAACCCCGTCTCTACTAAAAAAAAATATATACATATATACAAAAATTAGCTGGGCATGGTGGCATGCGCCTGTAGTCCCAGCTACTCGGGAGGCTGAGGCAGGAGAATCGCTTGAACCCAGGAGGCGGAGATTGCAGTGAGCCGAGATTGTGCCACTGCACTCCAGCCTGGTACCTGGTGACAAAGCGAGACTCTGTCTCAAAAAAAAAGAAAACTACTCCTACTATGGACTTCCCCATCTTATGTGATGGAGCCTCTACCTTTTTATTTTTTATTGGATTTTAGGTTTTGGGGTACATGAGCAGAGCATGCAAGACAGTTGCGCAGGAACACACATGGCAGTGTGCTTTTCTTTCCTTCTCCCCTTCACCCACATTTGGCATTTCTCCCCAGGCTATCCCTCCCCATCGCCCCCTCCCACTGGCCCTCCCCATTTCCCCCCAATAGACCCCAGTGTTTAGTACTCCCCTTTCTGTGTCCATGTGTTCTCATTTTTCATCACCCGCCTATCAGTGAGAATATGCGGTGTTTCATTTTCTGTTCTTGTGTCAGTTTGCTGAGGATGACGTTCTCCAGATTCATCCATGTCCCTGCCTCCACCCTTTTAACCGCCAAAATAAAAACTCTGAGTCATCCCTGACTCCTCACTTATCGTCAAAATTAAAAACTCCAGGCAGCCCTACTTAAATAATAAATCCAGAAGGCCAGGTGCAGTGGCTCACACCTGTAATCCCAGCACTTTTGGGGGCCGAGGTGGGTGGATCACGAGGTCAGGAATTTGACAACAGCCTGGCCAATATGGTGCGACCCTATCTCTACTCAAAATAAAAAATTAGCTGGGCACAATGGGGGGTTCCTGTAGTCCCAGCTACTCAGGAGGCTGAAGCGGGAGAATCGCTTGAACCTGGGAGGCAGAGGCTGCAATGAGCCAAGATTGTACCCCTGCACTGTAGCCTGGAGGACAGAGAGAGACTCCGTCTCAAAAATAAATAAATAAATAAAAATAAAAATAAAACCCAGAATCCAACTACTTCTCGCATCTTCTCAGCCACCGTAATGGCCCAGCTACTTTCACATTCACTTGGACTATCCCAGTAGTCTCCTCTCACGTCTTCCCCCTTCATCCTTCATTCGGTTTCCCATGCTGCAGCCACAGAGTGCCTAAAAGACCTGAGTCAGATCACCTCCCTCTTCCACTCCAAACCTCTTATTGTTACTTTTTTCTTTTTTTTTTGATACGGAGTCTTGCTCTGTCACCCGGGCTGGAGTGCAGTGGTGTGATCTTGGCTCACTTCAACCTCCACCTCCCAGGTTCAAGCGATTCTCCTGCCTCAGCCTACTGAGTAGCTGGGATTACAGGCGTGCGCCACCATACCCAGTTAATTTTTGTATTTTTCCTAGAGACGGGGTTTCACCATGTTGATTGGGCTGAACTGGAACTCCTGAGCTCGTGATCCGCCTGCCTCGGCCTCCCAAAATGCTGGGATTCCACGCATGAGCCACCGTACCCAGCCTATTACTATTAAGAAACGAATACACACTCAACTTTTCAGGGAACTATTCTGACTTCTACCACATTGCTCCCTGATCTCATGAGAAGAAAAGAATTGTCGGTTCCTGAACCATCTCAGCCTCCTCTCCAACCCTTTGCATATACTGATAACTATGCCTTGGACAACCTTCTACATCTCCAGCCGCCAACAATTTCATATAATCTGACCTGGACTTAGGACACTGGGCTTTGTATCTGCTCAACGTCCCAGGACCCAAAAGTGGTGGGAGAGCAGATCAAGAGCACCACTTGTTCAGAGACTATAATGGGTGAACTGAGGACCAGTCACAAACACCACTCCCCAGTTAGGCTTCATAAGCGATTCTACAGTTATGGGAATCTACAGAAACAGAAAAGCCACGAGAGTCAGGAACCACCACTAGGTTCCACAGGCTCAGTGGAAAAAGCCACTTTTGGAGCCAGGTGGCCTGGGCTGCCTGCACTATCTCTGCACCTCAGTCCTCAGTGCTGACTTTACCAGCTGTGTGAGCTTGGACAAGAACTCAATCTTCCCGTGTCTAACTACTACCACCTCTCTGCAGCCTGCTCTTCCCCTGAGCAACGTTTGGAAAGCGTTAGGAAATCCGAGCCCAGTGTCCCTATCTGTTCACAACCCTCCAAGGCTGCCAGTTTCCTCAGAACGGTCAAATTCCTCAGGTGCAATTCGGCCTCATTCTTTTTTTTTTTTTTTTTTTTTTTTTTTGAGACGGAGTTTCGCGCTTGTTACCCAGGCTGGAGTGCAATGGTGCGATCTCGGCTCACCACAATGTCCGCCTCCTGGGCTCAGGCAATTCTCCTGCCTCAGCCTCCTGAGTAGCTGGGATTACAGGCACTCGCCACCATGCACAGCTGATTTTTTGTATTTTTAGTGGAGACGGGATTTCACCATGTTGATCAGGATGGTCTCGATCTCTTGACCTTGTGATCCACCCGCCTTGGCCTCCCAAAGTGCTGGGATGACAGGCGTGAGCCGCCGCGCCCGGCCAATTCTGCCTCATTCTATGCTCCTGCAGACACGAGATGGATCCCAGGCTCCCGAATCCCCCCGGCTTAGCTGCGACCCCAAGCTCTGCACGCGCCAGGGCCCCTCCCTGCCCGTCACGTTTCCCTACACACTGCGCGTCATAAACGGGCCCCACCCACAAGCGCCTTCCTTTCCCGGGCACCGCGGCCTGGGCTGCAGGGCTGTGAGCAGACGCCCCTCCTGGGCTTTAGGACTTTTGTTGGGAGAGGGCGGGCGAGACCCGAGGACGCAGCACTCACCTGAGCCGGGTCCCTCATTGTGAACGCCGCCATTGAGCTCTGTCGACCAGGCGGGGAGCGGCGGGCGACCGGGGCGGGCCTTCGAACACAGCGGTCCCTATCCCGGGCTTGACACAGCTCACCGGGCGTGGCGTCGCCGAGCCTCAGACTTACTTTCGCGCCTTCTCTGTACCGTGTCTCAGTCGCGACCCCCGCTGCAGACGTTCTAGCGAGGTGAACAGACAGTAAAGAAGCCAAAAGAACCGCCTCGAGGAAGACACCGGAAGTCCCGCTCCGTCGTGCTGCTAATGCACGGAAGTGCCGCTATCCTGGTCATTGGCTCAACTCCGACGCCGTTTAGCGCTTTGCAGTCTGGGTAACGTAGTTTACAAAATGCCACATAGCTCTTCCGAGTAATTTGCACCTTTTTTTTTTTTTTTTTTTTTTTTTTCAAAAAAAAATGATGTTTATTATAACTTCTAAAGTAGGAATTAATAATAATTTTTTTATGCTGGCAACTCTGATTTTCTTTTCTTTTTACAGGTTTAAAGAAGCTCAGACTTTTTTTTTTTTTTTTTAAGAGTCTCACTCTGTCGCCCAGGCTGGAGTGCAGTGGTGCGATCTCGGCTCATTGCAGCTTCCGTCTCCCGGGTTCAAGCGATTCTCCTGCCTCAGTGTCGGAGTAGCTGGAATTACAGACCCACACCACCACACCCGGGTAATTTTTTTTGTATTTTTAGTAGAGATGGGGGTTACACCATGTTGGCCAGGCTGGTCTTGAACCCCTGACCTCAAGTGATCCACTCGCCTCAGTCTCCCAAAGTGCTGTAATTACAGGCGTGAGCTACCTCGCCCAGCCTCAAGCGCAGACTTTTTAACATGCATATATTACGTAGAGATGAAGTCTGGGCTTTTAGTGTATGCATCACCTTAATAGTGAACATTGTACCCAACAGGTAATAATTTTTCAACCCTCATCCCCCTCCCACCTGGGATTAATAAAATTTAAAAAATAATTATAACTAAAACACTAAGACAGGTGATAAATGGAATAATAAATTGCTCAATTACAGTAGGATAACAGCCCCGCATGGTGGCTCATGCCTGTAATCCCAGCACTTTGTGTGGGGGGCAAGGCAGGTGGATCACTTGAGGTCAGGAGTTTGAGACCAGCCTGCCCAACATGGTGAACCCCATTTCTATGAAAAATATAAAAATTTTTTGGGCATGGTAGCACACACCTGTAATTCCAGTTATTCAGGAGACTAAGACAGGAGAATTGCTTGATTTCAGGAGGCAGAAGTTGCAGTGAGCTGAGCCACTGGACTCCAGCCTGGGTGACAGTTAGACTCCATCTCAAAAAAAAAAAAAAAGAGATACACAAAACAATGCAATGGCACAGAGAGCCCAGGAATAAACCCAAGTATATACAGTTAAATAATTTTTGACAAGGTCTCAAAAAAAGAAAAATTACAACAGGATAAAATAAGAGTATAGGGGCCGGGGAGGAACAAACAAATGCAGTGAACAGAAAACATTTACAAACATAGGCTAACTATATCAATATCAATACTCATTTTAAACGTGAATGGTTCAAACAGACCAATGAAAAGGCAAAGGTTGTCACAGTGGATACGTGCAAGATGCAATGAAATCTTCTCAAAGAAATCCACTTTAGGCCGCGTGCAGTGGTTCACGCCTGTAATCCCAGCACTTTGGGAGGCCAAGGTGGTGGATCACAATGTCAAGAGATCAAGACCATCCTGGCCAACATGGTGAAACCCTGTTTCTACTAAAAATACAAAAATTAGCTGGGCATGGTGGTGCTTGCCTGTAGTCCCAGCTACTCAGGAGGCTGAGGCGGGAGAATAGCTTCAACCCAGGAGGTGTAGTTTGCAGTGAGCGGAGATCGTGCCACTGCATTCCAGCCTGGTGACAGAGCAAGACTCTGTCTCAAAAAAAAAAATCTAATTTAAAGACTCAGATGAACAAAAATAAAGAAAAAATGTATACTATGATGACACTAATCAAAAGACCTCTTGAATGCCAATATTAATTTCAGAAAAGGAAGGTTTTTCTTTTTCTTTTTTCTATTTTTTTGAGATGGAGTTTCGCTGTTGTTACCCAGGCTGGAGTGCAATGGCGTGATCTTGGCTCACTGCAACCTCCACCTCCTGGGTTCAAGCAATTCTCCTGCCTCAGCCTCCCGAGTAGCTGGGATTACAGGCACCCGCCACCATGCCCAGCTACTTTTTGTATTTTTAGTAGAGACGGGGTTTCACCATGTTGACCAGGATGGTCTCGATCTCTTGACCTCGTGATCCACCCGCCTCGGCCTCCCAAAGTGCTGGGATTATAGGCGTGAGCCACTGTGCCCGACCCTGTTTTTCTTTTTAAAACTTTTAATTAAAAAAATTTTTTTTGGAGAGATCAGGTCTCACTACATTCTCCAAGTTGGTCTTGAACTCTTGGGGGATTCTTTTGGCTTGGCCTCCCAAAGTGCTGGAATTACAGGCATGAGCCACTGCACCCAGCCAGAAAAGGCAGATTTAATACCAGGGACAATTATCTGGGATAAAGGGGTAATAATGATAATGAGTTCCTTGGTTATCGTAATATGCTCTGGTCCCCTATTTTCTTTTTTTTTTTTTTTTTTGAGATGGCGTTTCGCTCTTGTTACCCAGGCTGGAGTGCAATGGCGCAATCTTGGCTCACCACAACCTCCGCCTCCTGGGTTCAGGCAATTCTCCTGCCTCAGCCTCCTGAGTAGCTGGGATTACAGGCACGCACCACCATGCCCAGCTAATTTTTTATATTTTTAGTAGAGACGGGGTTTCACCATGTTGACCAGGATGGTCTCGATCTCTTGACCTCGTGATCCACCCGCCTCGGCCTCCCAAAGTGCTGGGATTACAGGTGTGAGCCACCGCGCCTGGCCAGGTCCCCTATTTTCATGAGACAAGGTATTTGTGGGATCGTAAGACTTGGCCTCATGGAGACTGCCTGTCTCCCTTGGAGATTGTGCTCTCGGTACTTGGGTACTCTGAAACGATGGACCGAATAACCCTGCAGATCATGTTTATGTTCTTTCCAGGCTTCTCTTCTTGGGGTACATTTTTGGAGAACTGAGGGTTTAAGTATAGACAAAAGCTGGGTATAGTACTCATTGAAGGCGAAGCAGGCAGGCTGAGGGCCACCATTTTCTATGAGTAATCTTTCTCAAACACGGGAAGTATCAGGGCTGGGACTGAAAAGAAGCACTCCTTACTGCTTTGTATCTGTCAGCTCTGCTGGGAAAGGACAGGTGATTTACGCCCAGATCTTAACTTAAAAAGGTGGCTGCATGACATCAAGAAGTCAACGCTATTGAAAAACTTTCATTACTTACATTTCCTGAGAGGAGGAGGGATGCCATACCACACAGGGCCACACAGGGGAAGAACCAGGTTTGGTCAGGAGGCAGAAAATAAGGAAAGTGTAGATCACAGATTTTATTATTTTTCATGGGAAAGGTGAGGTAGGGCAGGAGAAATAGTTTAGGGTTGGCTAGTTTGAATAATGCTGGCAGGCTCTAAGCCATAGCCGTGGTGTCTCGTTGTCTAGTTCCTGGCTCTGCGTGTTTTAGGTTGAGGACAATATTGGTCTGGTGTGTGACTCAATATTGGCCTGGTGTGTGAATTAAAGAGGGTGGCTGAAGATACAAGCTCGAGATTGGTTTGAGGGTTTGTAATCACACCCTTGAAACCTGAATCAAAGGGGAGGATATAAATAACTTTGGCCATTAGTTTTGCCGCGTAATTAATGAGTGAAAATGACAGAGAATCTAAGAAAATTCAGAACAGCAGAGAATGGCAGGGGTGAAAATCCCTGTTCCCAAAACTTGCATCCAGTGTATAATGTCAGACATTCCTCTGCTTCCTCTATTCGGTGTTGGCCATGATTAATTCTGTTTTCAACACAGAACAAGACTAGCACAACAGGAAATTTAGGGCTGAACGAGGTGGCTCATGCCTGTAATCTTAGCACTTTGAGAGGCGGAGGCGGGTGGATCACTTGATCTCAGGGGTTTGAGACTAGCCTGGGCAACATGGCAAAATCCCATCTCTACTAAAAATACGAAAATTAGTCAGGCGTGGTGGTGCCTGACTACAGTCCCAACTTCATGGGGGGCTGAGGCAGGAGGATCACTGGAACCCAGGAAGTTGAGGCTGCACTGAGTTGAGACTGTGCCACTGCATTCCAGTCTGGGTGACAAAGTGAGACCCTGTCTCAAAAAAAAAAAAAGGGGGGGGGGCGGACATGGCACTCCTGAATGTTACCAATACCGAATAGTTTAATGGTTCACTCTTGAAATATAAATAAATCTCCTAAAGGAAACATGGCTGTCTACTGCGAAGAGTAAGCCAGCTTCACCTAAAATAAAGGATGGCAATTAGAATGGTAAGTACGATGATCTTTTTGCTTCCCCCGGTACGGAGGCCTTGTCTTCTCTAGCTTAAGAGAGGAAACTCCAAATACACAATACTCCGGGACTGAGTTCCGAAGCCCCGCAGCAGGAGCGCTCGAAGAAAGCGCCGTGTGGGAGTCCAGGCGTCTGCCCAGTGCCGGCCGACACTAGATCCCAGAAAGCAGCGCAAGGCTGGATGGCGATGACTACCCCTGCCAGAGGCCCCTGGAACGCCTGGCTCCGGGGGGACGTTTCGGGAGACCGCGGCTCTGGGTCACCGCGTTCCCCTGGGACCTGCCGCCTCAGTTTACAGCCCAGCTTCCCTCCTCTGCCCGTCGGGGGACGCACATTCACCCACTTTATCTCCACCATCCGGCTCATCAGGCGATCGCATGTGTACCTGCGCAGAACTCGCCACCTCCTTCAGCAACCAGAGAGCAATGCGCGCTGCGTGGTGGACTACAAGTCCCAGAAGCCTTTGTTCCAACATTTTCATCCAGGGACTTTGACCCAAGAGCCTGCCGTGGGAGGCCTTGGGTATCAGTGAAGTCTGGCTGTAATCCCTGAAGGGGCAGGGATATAACCACTGATGTGCGGCTTTGAGTGGAGGCCAGGGGCTTATTGTTTATTTGTAATTGCAGGACCCGTAAAACACCCAGCAGAGTCAGACTGGCAGCTGGTGTGTCAGAACAGTCAGGTACACATTAAGCCTGCACAATACAAACATGTTGTCTATGCAGAGGGTGAGGAGAGAAAGAACTTTGTCTACCCCACCTTATCTTACGGGCTGACTCCAAGAAACTGGACTAAGGATCTGGATATTAAAATCAAAGCGTTAAGGCCCGGAGGGATGTCTCACTCTTGTAGTCCCAGCTACTCAGGAAGCTGAGGTTGGGGGCGGTTGGCAGGTGTATGGCTTGGGCCTAGGAGTTGGAGACCACCCGGGGCAACACAGCAAGACCCCGTCTCTACAAAAAATACAAAAATTAGTAGTGGTACTCACCTGTACTTCCAGCTATTAAGGAGGCTTGGATAGGAGGATCCCTTGAGGCCAGGAGGTTGAGGCTGAAGTGAGCTCTGATGGTACCACTGCTCTCCAGCCAGGGCAACAGAGCCAGACCCTGTCTGAAAAGAAAAAGCAGTAGCCATATCTAGTGTTGGAGAAGACATGGACATTAAGTTTTTTACCTTCTGATGGTGCTGTAATAGATTGAAAAACCATGTTGAAAAAGTATCCCCTGCCTCATACAGATCTTTGCAAACAAAAATTCTCCTTCCTGTGGACCGAGAAGCATATGCGAGAATGCTCACAATAGCAAAACAGTCGGAGACGGTTGAGGAAAGAGGGTGAATGGACAGGCTTCTCTGCACAGTGCTACCTTATCTGTAGCTGCCAGACAGTTCTCTGTTCTAAGGCAGAGGTGACAGAATCAGAGAAGCATCATAATTTATGCTGCAGAATTCTCCCCTTCCATCCTTTAGGCCGTTTCTACATGGCACCCTCTAGTCCTGGATTGTTTCTAGTGAAAACCAACTCACCCATGTATCCCCAAAAATCTACTAGCATATGCATTGCTATTTCAGCTTTGCCCAGAATTCTTTTTCTCCAAACTGACCTTTCAAACCGGTTCCAGAAATAAGCTCCCCTTTCTCACATCCCCACCATTGGACTTTTCTGGTAACCATCTGTCAATAAAACAACCATATGCAATTTTCAGTCACCATATTCACCTCAAGTTTAGCTATTAATTTCTCATAAATTTTAAACATTATAGTATCTTTTATATATGAAAGTTTGCTTTCATCATCTGAGGCCTGCTTCCAGATTTCCACCTGTGCTCCACCCATTTTGAGGTCCATGTGGCTGCACCAGAGTTAAAAGGTATGATGTAAGGATAAGGGAGTAGGCAGGGAAAGCCTCATTGGAGCACGGTGAACTGGTGTTTGTGTCCTCAGGGGTGGAACATATTGCCTTCTAATGTGGGCACATGGCTGGATTTTAAAGAATAATGCCAGGCACTGTGGCTAACACGTATAATCCCAGCATTTTAGGAGGCCATAGTGGGAGGATAGTTTGAGACCAGCCTGGGCAAAATAGCAAGATCCTGTCTTTACAAAAAAAAAAATTTTTTTTTAAATTAGCCGGGTGTGATGGTATGCTCCTGTAGTCCCAGCTAATTGGGAGGCTGAGGTGGGCGGATCACCTGAGCACCAGAGCTTGAGACCAGCCTGACCAAGGTGGATAAACCCTGTCTCTACTAAAAATACACAATTAGCTGGGTGTGGTGGTGCATGCCTGTAATCCCAGCTACTCGGGAGCCTCAGTCAGGAAAATCACTTGAACCCGGGAGATGCAGGTTGCAGTGAGCTGAGACGGCACCATTGCACTCCAGCCTGGGCAACAGGAGCGAAACTCCGTTTTAAAAAAAAAAAAAAAAGCCCCACCTTTCCCCTTTGTCTCTTATCAAAATAGCGTACATCTTTCATTGTTTTTGAGATTGATATTAGACTTCTAAAAGGAATTGAGTATATCTCAGATATCAAGTAGGAATTATGACATGGATAAAAGTGTTGCTTAATGAATTGGACCCAATTATTGACGACCCAATTATTGACGACAGAATAATTGACTATGCAGGCAAAGATGTTTTCTGTTGGAGTCACAGACAGCATTCTACCTTTGTATTACTGCTTCAAGGTGACCTATCTTCTGTCTTCTAGAGGCAATGTCATGCCATTATCTTAAGTAGTTTTTCTCCTGTCCCTGACCGAAAGTGCACAGACAGAGAAGACTGACTTCAATGCTTCCAAGTACATACATTTGAAATGTAATATGGGAGAGGCTGGGGGCGGTGGGTCACACACACTTTCAGAAACAGAGGCGGGTGTATCACCTGAGGCCAGGAGTTCGGGATCACCACAGTGAAACCCCATCTCTACAAAAAATAGAAAAAATTAGCTGGGCGTGGTGGTGCGCGCCTGTAGGCCCAGCTACTTGGCAGCCTGAGGCACGAGAATCACTTGAACCCGGGAGGCGGAGGTTGTAGTGAGCCCGGATGATACCCCTGCACTCCAGCCTGGGCGACAGAGGGAGACTCTGTCCAAAAGAAGAAGAAAGAAGGAAGAAAGACGAAGAACGAAGAAATAATAATGTAATAAATATAACATCCCTACTAGTGGATAAATTTCATGTCTGCAAGTGATGTATATATTTGGATTTGCAGCCGTAGGGAGAGTCTGATAATACTTTTAGCCTCTGGGAGCCTGCTGAACTTTATGAGGTATGAAATAATATTTCCCAAACACTTGGTTGATCAGTTGCAGATGGCGCCGCCGATATGCTGTCTGATTACGACCCAGTCAAGAAAGGACAAGCCCCTCCTCTGCCCTAGGACCTGGATAAGCCATTTCTCGTCACCCCGCACCCCGGAGCTTCGCCTTTCTGCCAAGAGGTTGGTGCAATGCGTCCCCAGGCCGGACCTCAGGATGCATGAAAACTACATTACCCAGAATGCTCTGCATCGAACGGCAGCACTACTAAGCCAGTGAGAGCTCAGAAAATAGACTTCCACGACAGTCACCAAAAAAGGGCGGGACGTTTGGAGTCTGCGTGGTGGCGGCCATTTTGGCTTCTCTGGGGTGTCTTCGCCGGATCTGAGATCGCAGAGCGCCTAGTTGGGGCTACGAGGGCGTGAGGGGAGTCGTCGTCCCTCCCGCACGGAAGCATCGGAGCCTTGGTGACCCACGCCAGGCCTGGGATAGCCACCGCCGTGCTTGGGTCCCTCCCCTGAGCGCCCGCCGCTCCCGGCCCGTCTCTACCCACAGAGCCTGATGGCAGCGGCCACTCCGAGGGCGCCAGCTCCGGTGAGTGCTGCGTCTTCCCCCACCCACGTTCTGAAGCCGCCGTGAAGGGCGCCTGCAGCCCAGGGTCGGGGACCCTGAGGCGCTCGTGGGTGGGGCCCCGTTGCTGACACGGCGCGTGTCGAGGTGTGGGAGGGCGCGGGCCGGGGCTGAGCCGGGAGAACTCGGAAAGCGCTTTTCTGCGGGGAACGAGAATGTGAGGCGGGTTGTGCCTTCATTGTGGGGAGGCTGGAGGCCACGGAGAGTTTTGAAGAAAGGAGGGGGATGCCATTTATGTTCGTTTTTTCTCTTTGGGAGGGAGTGCTCTCTCTCTTTTTTTTTTTTTGAGACGATGTTTCGCTGGTTACCCAGGCTGGAGTGCAATGGCGCGATCTCGGCTCACCGCAATCTCTGCCTCCTGGGTTCAGGCAACTCTCCTGCCTCAGCCTCCCGAGTAGCTGGGATTACAGGCACGTGCCACCATGCCCAGCTAATTTTTTGTATTTTTAGTAGAGACGGGGTTTCACCGTGTTGACCAGGATGGTCTCGATCTCTTGACCTCGTGATCCACCCGCCTCGGCCTCCCAAAGGGCTGGGATTACAGGCTTGAGCCACCGCGCCCGGCCCGGAGTTCCTCTCTTGTCGCCCAGGCTGGAGGGCAATGGCGCGTCCCGGGTCACTGCAACCTCCGCCTCCTGGGTTCAAGCGATTCTCCTGCCTCAGCCTCCCCACTAGCTGCGATTACAAGCATGCACCACAACGCCTGGCAGGTTTTTTGTATTTTTAAGTCCCCAAATTAATAAGTCCAGGGGCAAATAAGTCCACGGGTTTCACCATTTGGGGACCAGTTTGGTCTCAAACTCCTGACCTCAAGTCACACGGCCGCCTCGGCCTCCCAAAGTGCTGGGATTACGGGCGTGAGCCGTCGCGCCCGCCCTTTGTTAGGGTTTACATTTTTTTCCCAAGACCGTTAATAGGAAGAGCCCCGATGGGGCGATGACGACACTGAGGTAGTGGGAGGCTGCATCTTTATTTCGTTGCCCTACAGTTAGTGAGACGCGACGGTGAGCACTGAGGCACCGAAGTAAAACAGCCACCCTGAGTTCAGGGCCAGGGCGGGATACACGGAGGCTGAGCCCATTGAGCCTCATCAGGGATGCGGTCCTCTTTCCCTGGTTCTCCTGGTTATAGAAGGGCATATGGAACTCACAGGGAAGTGGGCAGTGTTCCGGTCCCTCAGTAGGCACCTCCCCCACCCCCTCCCACTTGTTCTTGGGATTGTGGTTTCCTACTACGCTTAAGTGCTGTTACCCCCAATCCTGGGTGTGCTGCCCTGCAGAAATTCTAAGCCCAAGGTTCTAAGTCCATGCCAGGGGTTATCCCATTTGTGAAAGCCAGTTGGAACGTTTGAAAGGTTACTTCCGGCGCTGGTATCAGGAGGGGCAAGTGCTTAGTAGAACTAAGCTGAGATTTTTGAGGAAACCACAGATCTCCTTCCTTTTAGCTGGGAACAAAGAGCAGGGGGAAGGAGTCTGGACTGCAGTGGCTGCCTGGGACGCTGGGTACCTATTCTGGAGGTAATGGGAGGTTTGGGTTAGAAAAAGGTGGTGATCTTACCAAAGTTCTAGCAGGCTCCACCCTGTTAGCACGGAGAGCGACTGTGGGTTGAGGGAGGAGGAAAGATCAGCGTGGAAGCTACAGCCAATCCAGGTGGGGATTAATGGACCGCGGTCGTATATTAGGAGATGTGGGGGCCGGGCGCGGTGGCTCAAGCCTGTAATCCCAGCAATTTGGGAGGCCGAGGCGGGTGGATCATGAGGTCAACAGATCGAGACCATCCTGGTCAACATGGTGAAACCCCGTCTCTACTAAAAATGCAAAAAAATTAGCTGGGCATGGTGGCGCGTACCTGTAATCCCAGCTACTCAGGAGGCTGAGGCAGGAGAATTGCCTGAACCCAGGAGGCGGAGGTTGCCATGAGCCGAGATCGCGCCATTGCACTCCAGCCTGGGTAACAAGAGCGAAACTCTGTCTCAAAAAAAAAAAAATTAGGAGATGTGTTGCTCTCTGGATGCAAGTTTTTAAAGGGGGCAACTACATTTTCTGATGTAGATAGCGAGGGAGTGAAACAGGATTCAGCGATGACCCCCTCGTTCAACTGAGATGGCGAAGTTGGTATTAACAGTAACATTCACTGGAGACATCGGGAGCTTTGCTTTGGTCATGTAAGAGTTTGCGATGTTTCAGAGGCATTAAGTAGGTGACTGTTGAACACACAGGTCTCGAAATCTGGGGAGTGCTTCAGAATGGAGATGTCCCAAGTGCTGGGATCACAGCCATGAGCCACCGCGCTCAGCCTGTAAGGGTTAACCTTCAGGCATGGGGGTACAGATTATTTGGCCTGGAAGGGCAGATTCGGGGGCTAAGGACCAAGCCTTTTGGTTGGATAACTGGGTGATGTTCTTGGGCTTTGTAAACACAGGTAAGGGTGGTTAGTGGCTGTGGAGGTAGGGTAGGGTGTTTGGAGAGGATAGTTGGGCCGGTGGCATACGCTTTGAAGGAAAGAGTGGATGTGAGGTGGATGCAGAGGCAGAGGTGTATTTGAGGCAAATGGCGGTCCTTTTTTTCCCTTAGTGCTCATTCAGCACCTTGTGGAATCACTAGCATTTTGTGATGACTTTGATGGGGCCTGGAGTGTTTATTCCCCCTGGAGAATTAAGTCCAGGGGCAAATATGGTCATCTGTGATGATCACTTGGCCTGGGCTAGTCTTTGAGTGTTAGGTGGACAGAGGAGCAAGTGCAGCACAGAAGCGGAACAGGGCCACGGGTATCTGAGAGGCACATGTGGTTCTGTGTGGCCTAAGTCCAAACAGGAAGACTTCATAGGGTTTGGGGCTGCTACCCCTGGTGGGTCCCCTGGGAAATCTAGGGCAGCATTAGATCCTGTCTGAATTTGTCAAGTACACTCTGGATGCTATGTGCTGAGTTACAGTGTAAAGTCTAACATTAAGGCCCAATATGACGTCTGGAGAAATTAGGGTGACATCAAATGGCCTGATGACAAGATTCCCTCCCTACTCTTCTCCCAAACAGACAACGCTTTTTATCAAGGGGACCAGGCACAATTTCTGCTTCTCCCTTTGTAGCAGATTTCAGCTCCCGACCAGGCCACTGGCTGTTTTCTAAACAAGCCAATTGTGGGAACCAGGGGGCACCTGATCCTTTTGTGGGCAAAATGCTTGTATTCCACAGCTGTTGGTTATTCGCTGGTTTTGTGGACTGTATCCCTGTGATCCTGTGTGGTACACGTTGTTCTCATCTCCCAGGTTTTATTATATATGAGTGATAAACTGCTGTATCATCTTCCTAGTGTCAGGTATTGTGTTTGGCCATATGCATAGCCCTAGTATAGCAATCCTGCCTTCGCTAATGGGGTGAAGAGGAAGAGATTAAAACAATGACACGGGGGTTAAGAGCAGGGACATGTCTATGGTGTGGGCAGTGAGGTGGCAGCCCTGGCTTGGGCTATGGTATCTGGAGATAGGAGGGATGTGTATTCTGAAGAATGATGCACATCTGGGAGTAAATGACAGCTGCAGGGTCCTGGTATTGAGACTCACATGACCTTGAACATTCCAGGGGGATTTCATCATGGGATAGCATAGATCCTTCCATGCCAGGCCCCCAGCTCAGATACCTATTGACCCACATGTGATTGGGGCTGGTTTCTCCTCTCAGTTGGGAAGCTTGGGAAGAGAATGGGCATGGGGTAAGGATGTAGGGGTATGGACTGTGGGTGCTTGGGAGAAGGGCTCTTGGTGGTTTCATCTGTTCCCATTGTGGCAGGGCACTGTGACCTTTGAAGATGTGGCTGTTCACTTCTCCTGGGAGGAATGGGGTCTCCTTGATGAGGCTCAAAGATGCCTGTACCGTGATGTGATGCTGGAGAACTTGGCTCTTTTAACCTCCCTGGGTAAGGTTCTTTTACCCATTCCTGTGCCCTGAGCTAGTCTATGCCCTTCCTCTTTTCCCTATAGGCAGGTCTGTCCTTCTCATGACAAGAGTATACACTCTGCTTCTTTCTCATTTCCCTGCATAATTCTGTCATTGCTGTGACTAAGGTTTGCATACTGTCCTCTACTCTCCTTGAGGTGCCCAAGTACCTGTTTCCCCACAGCCTCACAGGGAAGGATTCAGAGTCTGGACTTTTACAGTCACCCTAGTGCATCTCAACTTTATTGTCCCCTCCATGACTGGGTAACTTTTTCCAGATTTCAGGATCCTGTGTGCCCAAGCTACTACTTCCCTCCCATAGCTGGCATTTCATTATGCCTGCCTATGCCAGGGGTTATGGTCACTACTTATGTAGACCATGGACTCTACTTACAAGCTATTCCTCTGAAAAAAAGTTTTTTTTTAAGATGGGGTTTCACCATATTGGTCAGGCTGGTCTTGAACTCCCGACCTCAGGTGATCCACCCACCTTGGCCTCCAAAGTGCTTGGATTATAGACGTGAGCCGCCACGCCCGGCCTTCCTCTGAAATTTTTTTTGTAATATTTGTGTGTGTGTGTGTGCGTGTCTTTCCTACAGGCTGTCATGTGCTGAGTTTTTTGTGGGACAGTGTAGGGTGGTTTTCTGTTCTTTCTTCCCTTTGTACTTGCATTATCCAGATGCTATATTATAGCAGCAACCTATTCTGTTTGGCGAGAGTTTTGGTGCCAATCCAGTGGTCACAGCACACTTCCAGTTTTCCTTCAATCTTGACATTTTGCTGACATGTCAGCTCTACTACTTGTCACTTAACATCCAGCCTGGGGCTAATCCTCACATCTCTGGACTCCATATCTTATCTGTTTTTCTCACTGCTACATCTGCATTTCTTTCCATTGTTGGCCTCTACATAGTGTGTCATGAGGTATGCACATACTCTTTTGTTTTTTTGAGATGGAGTCTCACTCTGTTGCCCAGGCGGGAGTGCAATGGCGTGATGTCAGCTCACTGCAACCTCTGCCGCCCAGATTCAAGCGATTCTCCTGCCTCAGCCTCCCGAGTAGCTGGGATTACAGGCGCCTGCCACTGTGCCTGTCTAATTTTTGTATTTTTAGTAGAGACGGGGTTTTGCCATTTTGGCCAGGCTGGTCTTGAGCTTCTGACCTCATGATCCACCTGCCTCTGCCTCCCAAAGTGCTGGGATTACAGGTGTGAGCCACTGCGCCTGGCCTTGCACGTACTCTTAAACAGCCCTTGAAGGCCAGCTGCTGCATTGCAGTCATATTTCCTTGGGCTTCAATATGCTGTTCTACACAGCACTCGTATTATCAGCAGATAAGTGTCTGCTGAAGTTGTTTGCAGAGGATTTAGTATTAGACCCTGCTTCTCCTCTCTTTTTCATACCTCATGGTTGTGGCCTTTACCTCTTGAGTTCTCCCACATTCTTGTAAACTTGATAGCCTAGTATTGCTAAGCAGGCTTATCTGGAAACTGAACCCAGCTCTGCTGCCATGCAAACATTCCCACAGACTTGTTCCTGGGTTTGTCATACACACAGTTGTATAGAGGCCGCCCCCTCCCACCATAGTTAATGTGCACTTCACTAGCATTTCTTGCTTTTAGGTTGTTGGCATAGAGTGGTGGATGAGGAGGCACCTTCTGAGCAGAGCATTTCTTTAGAAGGAGTGACCCAGCTCGGGTCACTTTCTCCCCAGAAGGCCCACCCCTGTGAGATATGTAGCCTGGTCTTGAGAGACATTTTGCTTCTGGCTGGGCCCTAGAGCACCCATCATAGGCAGAAATTATACAGGGGTGTGGCATGTAAGAAATAATTGTATTTCATTTCATTGCAGATGTTCATTACCAGAAAGAGAACCTTGGAGAAAAACATTTCAGAAGCAATGTGGACCAAGCCTTGTTTGTGAACACCTGCATATTCCATGTGTCAGGGGAGACTTCCACATGCGTAGAAGTTGGGAAGGACTTCCTGGCCAAGTTGGGATTTCTCCATCAACAGGACACTCACACTGGGGAGCAATCAAACAGCAGAAGCGGTGGTGGGGCTGTCAGCCACAGAGGAAAAACTCATTACAGTTGTGGAGAATGCATCAAAGCGTTCAGCCGGAAACACTCACTTGTTCAGCCGCAGAGAACTCTCACTACAGGAAAGTGTTACATGTGCGGTGAATGTGGGAAATCCTTTAGCAAAAATTACAGCCTCAATGACCACTGGAGAGTTCACACTGGAGAAAAGCCTTATGAATGTCAAGAGTGTGGAAAGTGCTTTAGGCAAAGCTCTAGTCTCATTCAGCACCGGAGAGTTCACACTGCAGTACGGCCTCACGAATGTGGTGAATGTGGAAAATTATTTAGCAACAAGTCCAACCTCATTAAACATCGGAGAGTTCACACCGGGGAAAGGCCGTATGAGTGCAGTGAATGTGGGAAATCCTTTAGCCAAAGGTCTGCACTCCTTCAGCATCGAGGAGTTCACACCGGGGAGAGGCCTTATGAGTGCAGTGAATGTGGGAAGTTCTTTACATATCATTCCAGTCTCATAAAGCACCAGAAAGTTCATAGTGGATCAAGACCTTATGAGTGCAGCAAATGTGGGAAGTCATTTAGCCAAAACTCTAGCCTCATTGAACACCATAGAGTTCACACTGGAGAAAGGCCTTATAAGTGCAGTGAATGTGGGAAATCCTTTAGCCAAAGGTCTGCACTCCTTCAGCATCGGGGAGTTCACACTGGGGAGAGGCCTTATGAGTGCAGTGAATGTGGGAAGTTCTTTCCCTACAGCTCCAGTCTCCGAAAACACCAGAGAGTTCACACTGGATCAAGGCCCTATGAGTGCAGTGAATGTGGGAAATCCTTTACTCAAAATTCTGGCCTCATAAAGCACAGGAGGGTTCACACTGGGGAGAAGCCTTATGAGTGCACTGAATGTGGGAAATACTTTAGCCATAACTCAAGCCTTATTAAACACCGGAAAGTTCATAGTCGATAAAAGCCTTATGAGTGGCAAGTATGGAAAAGCTGTTAGCACCCTGGAGAAAGTCCTTGAGTACAGTTAATGTTAGAAAGCTTCAGCTGAAGGCTGTCTCTCATTGAGTACCACAGAGTTCACAAGGGAAAGACACTTTTGATATGTGGACATGTCCAGTTGCTATAACAGCTCTGAAGGAGATCCCTTATGATGCTGGCATCAGCCTGAATTGAATCTCCTATATCTGAACATCTGCATACATTCCAGGTATGTGGGAGCTGCACTGCACCTTTTGCCCTGCCCAGGGCCCATGCCAGATTTATGTCTGCTGATTCTGTAGTGAGAGCCATTTTACCTCTACTGCCTGGCACGTGTTCACAGTGTACACCATTCACCCACCACAGAGTATTCAGGTAAGTAAACCCTGGTGTTCTCCCCTTATGGGAGGAATTTGTAAATAGCCTAAGCATTTATTCCTTTCTTGTTTTGTTTTGTTTTTTTGCTCTTTGATGAGTTAGGCCATGGACCTGATCCAGTTTGGCCCAGAGGACTCTGTGGGTGACGTATTTCAGGACATTGTTGGCCTCGCATGACTCTTGGTATCGTTTGTCAGCCTCGGAATCACCAACCATGGGAGCCACCTGCCTCTGACTGCCCTGGTTTGTACAGTAATAAAGGCCTTACTGATCTTGGGGGTTCTAGTCACTGTATGGGTTGGTTTGAAAACAAAGGGGTAACTTTTTGGGATCCCCAACTGTTTGGCTCAACAGGGACAGGGAGAGTAGGATGGCAGAATAGAGTTCTCTTTCTAGTTTGAGCCTAGTTTTCATCGCTATTCCAGGCCTCTGGGAAAAAGCTGCAGGGTATTGTCCTAATTTATATCCTGGATGCCATAATATGCCATGGTTTCAGAGGGCAGTCTAAGTAGGCGGCAATTACTGTGGCATCCTTCGGTGCTTCTGAAAGCAACAGGAAATGGTTCTCTCGTTTGTGAGGAATACTGCATTGTGTTCAGTGCTCTTGGGGGATGTCTGTTCCCCAGGTTCCATATGCCTTGATATCCTGAATTCCATAGGGTGGCACCACAGGTGGTGAGGTTATAGCAGGAATTGTAATTGTTACAGAAGTTCTGGAGTGATCCGGAGTGGAAAACTGCAATAAATAGAATGCGACCCTTTAATAGGGGTTTCCATGATGTTCATCATTACGGCTCTTAAGGATGAGCAGGTACAGAAATGCTCAGGACTTCCAGAATTGTGTATCTTGTGTAGCTCAGGTTATTGTCAGAAATTTTATGGAATCCTGTAGCCTCTGGGATGTTCACCTCAAGGTCACTGCTATGCAGGCAGGAAAACAAGGATGGAGAAGACAGGTCTAGGCCATTGACACAGCCTTTGTCATCCAGCCAACATTTCTGTTGAGTCAGGTGGAAATGGTGCACTGTTTACCTATATTTGTTATCACTGAGGCAAAGTCCTCTCCCAGGACATGAGGAGAGAGAGAGTGGAATCAACTTCAGAGTTGTCAAACCTGATTTTCCGAGAACAATAGGAAATTCAGACTTTTTTATTTTGAACCATATTTTGTTAGGCTGGTGCAAAAGTCACTTTGGTTTTGAACTATGATTTTTTTTTTTTTTTTTTTTTGGCAGAGTCTTGCTCTGTCACCCAGACTGGGGTGCAGTGGTGCGATCTCAGCTCACTGCAACCTCTGCCTCCTGGGCAATTCTCCTGCCTCAGCCTCCCAAGTAGATGGGATTACAGGCACCCACCATGCCCAGCTGATTTTTGTATTATCAGTAGAGATGGGGTTTTGCTATGTTTGCCACACTGGTCTCAAATTCCTGACCTTGTGTGATCCACCCACCTTGGCATCCCAAAGTGCTGGGATTACAGGCGTGAGCCACCATGCCCGGCTACCTGCATGCTTTTATTTTCATTCCATTTCCTTCTGGTCTGCAATGTCTGTATGAAAAAATCCATTGATAGTCTTATGAGGAATCCTTTGTGTACACAGCAAGTTCCTTTTCTCTTTCTCCTTTAGGTTTTCTCTTTAACTTTTTTTTTTTTTTGAGGCGGAGTTTCGCTCTTGTTGCCCAGGCTGGAGTGCAATGGTGCGATCTCAGCTCACTGCAATCTCTGCCTTCTGGGTTCAGGCAATTCTCCTGCCTCAGCCTCCCGAGTAGCTGGGATTACAGGCATGCACCACCATGCCCAGCTAATTTTTGTATTTTTTGTAGAGATGGGATTTCACCTCGTTGACCAGGATGGTCTCGATCTCTTGACCTCGTGATCCGCCCGCCTCGGCCTCCCAAAGTGCTGGGATTATAGGCGTGAGCCACTGCGCCTGGCCTCTCTTTAACTTTTTAACAATGTGATTATAATAAATCTCATTATGGATCTCTGTATCCATCTTATTTAGTGTTTTTTGCACTTCAGGAATTTGGATTTCTATTCTCTCTCTTGGGTTGGGGATTTTCAGCCATTATTTCTTTGAATAAGCTTTCTGGGCTGGGCACGGTGGCTCACGCCTGTAAGTGCTTTGGGAGGCCAAGGTGGGTAGATCACAAGGTCAGGAGTTCGAGACCAGCCTAACATGGTGAAACGCCATCTCTACTAAAAATACAAAAATTAGCCAGGTGTGGTGGCATGCACCTGTAATTCCAGCTACTTGGGAGGCTGAGGCAGGAGAATCACTTGAGCCTGGAAGGTGGAGTTTGCAGTGAGCCAAGATCGCACTACTGCACTCCAGCCTGGGCAACAGAGCAGACTTCTCAAAAAAAAAAGATGCTTTCCGTCCCTTTCTGTTTCTCCCCTCCTACTGGAATTTCAATAATGTGTACAGTGTTCTGCTTGATGTCCCACAGTCCTTTGAGTTATCTTTTTTTGCTCATGTAAATCCAGCACTTTGGAAGTCCAAAGTGGGAGCATTACCTGAGGCCAGGAGTTCAACACCAGCCTTAGCAACTGTAGTAAGACCCCATTTCTACAGAAAAATGAAAATAAAAAAATTAGCTGGGCATGGCGATGCCTGTCTATAGTCCCAGGTACTTGGGTGGCTGAGGCAAAAGGATCATTTGAGCCCAGGAATTTCAGGCTGCCATTAGCTATGCTAACACCAGTGCCCTCCGACTTGGGTGACAAAGCAAGACCATATCAGAAAGGAAAGGAGGGAGGGAGAAAAGGAAGGAGGAAGGACACTGTTTTTTTTTTTTTTTTTGTGACGGAGTTTCGCTCTTGTTACCCAGGCTGGAGTGCAATGGCGCAATCTCTGCTCACAGCAACCTCCGCCCCCTGGGTTCAGGCAATTCTCCTGCCTCAGCCTCCTGAGTAGCTGGGATTACAGGCACGCGCCACCGTGCCCAGCTAATTTTTTGTAATTTTTAGTAGAGACAGGGTTTCACCATGTTGACCAGGATGGTCTTGATCTGTTGACCTCGTGATCCACCCGCCTCGGCCTCCCAAAGTGCTGGGATTACAGGCTTGAGCCACCGCGCCTGGCCGGAAGGACACTGTTGATTGTTGTGGTTATTTATTTTTCTTTGTTGTGGTTATTTCATATTCTTTTTTTTTTTTTTTTTTTTTCAAGAAAAGATTACTATTACAGTCTATTTTCGCTTAAGAACAAATATGTAGGTAGGATGTGGTAGCTTATGCCTGTAATCCTAGCACTTTGGGAGGCTGAGGGGTTGGATCACTTGAGATCAGGAGTTCAAGATCAGCCTGGCCAGTGGAAACCTGTCTCTACAAAATATACAAAAATTAGCTGGGCATAGTGGCATTTGCCTGTAGTCCCAGCACTCCAGCCTGGATGTCAAGAGCAAAACTGCATCTCAAAAAAAAGGAAAAGAAAAAGAAAAATGTTTATACATTCTTTGCTTTCTTTTTTTTAAATTTGAGATGGAGTTGCCCAGACTGGAGTGCAGTGGTGGCTCACTGCAACCTCTGCTTCTGGGTTTCATGTTGGCCAGAGTGGTCTCAAACTTGTGACCTCAGGTGATCTGCCTACCTTGGCCTCCCAAAGTGCTGGGTTTACAGGCATGTGCCACCACACCTGGCCTATTTTTCAACTTTAGCTATACAAATTGTCTGTGAAACTCAACTGAATCACAATTAGAATTAATGTAAAAATTGAATATACTTCCCAGATATGACCACAATGTGTAAAAAATGTTTTACCGTAATTTGAGTATATCAATTGAAACTTAATTTTTAAATTTCAAGAAATGCAAATAAAAACATGGGGGATCTTGATCAAAAAGCGTTGAAAAGATTAAATGAAGAGACATCATATTATGTGAAATCTCATTATTGCCAGGAAGTTATTTTCCAAATTATTTTCTAGATAAAATTATAACTAATTCCTCCCCCAAATAAAAAAACCCCATTGCTTCTGAAATCCACATATACTAAAACTCCAAACTTAAAAAAAACTGGAGAAAATATTTGCAAGTTATATGTTGGATAAAGGGTTAACATTCAGAATATATAAACTCCTACAACTTAACAAAAAGCCAAGTAGCCTAATTAGAAAATGGGCAAAGAGGCCGGGCATGGTGGCTCACTCTTGTAATCTCAGCACTTTGGGAGGCCGAGGTGGGTGGATCATGAGGTCAGGAGATCAAGACCATCCTGGCCAACATGGTGAAACCGCATCCCTACTAAAAATACAGAAATTAGCCAGGTGTGGTGGTGTGCACCTGTAGTCCCAGCTACTTCGGAGGGTGAGGTTGGAGAAACTCTTGAACCCGGGAGGCGGAGGTTACAATGAGCAGACACTGCGCCACTACACTCCAGCCTGGGTGACAGGGCAAGACTCCGTCTCAAACAACATCAAAAAGGAAAATGAGCAAAGAACTTGAGTGGGTTTTCTCTAGTGAAGACGTACAAATGGCCACCATGTATATGAAGAGATGCTGAACACTAATCAGTAGATAAATTCATATCAAAGTCACAATAAAATATGGTAACTCACACCCATTAGGATGGTACTAAAATAAGTGTTAAGGGCATAGAGAAATGGAACATTTGTGCATGCAGCCGCTATGGAATACTGTACTAATAAGGGGGAAAAAAACCTCTGAATTTCAATCAAAGTATGGAATCATCCTTTGTCCAGAGCAAATCTCTTTCATGAGGCTTACCATTATAGAAAAATCTGTACATGTGGTGAATGTGGAAAAGGCTTTGGCAAATAATCCGTAATTGCATCAGATAATTTATAGTGGAGACAAACTTTTATCATCAATGCTGGAAGACTTTAGGTACAGCTCATGTCTTACCTGATACATGTATTGAATGTGGAAAGGCCTTTAACCATGGCTTAACAGTATTATCAGATTTCTCATGTAAAAGATAAGTGTATAAATGTGTACAGTGTGGAAAGTCTTAGTCATGTCTTCCAGCTCATTGACCATGAGAGAATTCATACTTCAGAAACTGTGTCATTGTAGTGTATGTGGAAGGCCTGTGTCCACACGCAATCTGATTCTCCGTCAGAAAAGTCAGTGGAAAGAAACCTTATGAATGTAATGAATGTGGAAAAGGCTTTAGCTAAAGTTCACACTTGCTCAGCATCAATGGATTTCACATTGTAGCGTAACGGTGTCAGTGCAGTAAATCTTCTAATAAAGACTAAATGAAAGTCTTTTAGTAAAGAC